CTAAGCAACTGAAGAAAAATAACTAGAGTTTTACAACTGATACCTATATAGAGAATTCTGAACTTATTAATACCATCATTTCCCCCTCTTTTTATATAAGTCATATCTATAAGACAAACATACCACCCCATCACATTCAGGCAGGTTCTTGACCTCTGAAATCTACTCAACTCTTAATGATAATCAGAGGGAGCTGACCACCTCTTTGGGGTCCATCAGATGTCTTTCTACAACCATCCGGAAGCAAGAAAACGAGCCAGAGTCCAACCAGCTCCCCAAAATACCTTGTCCATTTCTATGGAAGAGCAAGCCAATCTGGAAACACACCTGACATGTGATCAGTCTCAATCCAGAAAGCCTCAGAACTAAGAAGCACCTTCAGAATTCTCTGTTTTTGAATTCATCACACTCCGTCGACTCTCCATCGTTCATATGGGACCTCCTACTCAGAGCATTTTTCCTTGTCCACCACCCACCTACCCCCAGTGTAGGCCTGTCCAGTCTAGTGGTAATTGCCCTCGGGTTTCAGCTGCCCGCTGCTGCCTGGTGGGGCCGCCCTCGAGTCCTCACTTTCAGTGGCATTCTTTCACTTTCCGAGAACCTTAGGCTTTAGTTGGGAGCTCCAACTGAACTGTAAGTCTTTTCGGGCTAATAACATCTGTTGCAATTGTATGTCACAAAGAATTGAGTGAACATGTAGATCATCAGGCTATAATCCATTTCCATAGATATTTGTTTTGTTGCACGCGCGCTCACACTCACTCACACACACACACACACACACACATCCTTCAAATACATGGTTGGGTTCTAAACAAATGACATTTACATGTTGTGTCACTTTTGGTGAAAATTGGTGTTATGTGAAAAGGTCAGCGGCCACCAAACTCTCCTCAGGCTCCAAGAGCCACTTCAGAGGTGGCTCTATGGGACTGCTCTGTCCCCTGCAGCCATTTGTGGTCCACTTTCTTCCCAACTTCAGGCCGACTGGTTGGTTTGTATGAGTTCAAGCCACAGGCTGAGCTGTTGGGCTGAGCAATGACAGCTAGGAGAGACCTGCTCTGCCCGGAGTTCTTGCTCTCCACAGAAATGCCTACTCACCCAGGACTGCTGCCTGCTGGTCTCCACACCTCCAAGTGTGCAAATATCAGATCTTAGGGTCTATGGCAAAGCGACCATAATGTGTCCTATCTGCACCCCTCTGCTGCCTTCTCACAGACTTGCACCTTAACGTTACCACTCTACGCAATAGGGGAGTTGCCACCAGCCTAGGGCTTGACCATGGTTGTATGAGGCGCGAGGCAAGCATAAGGGTTAATGGCCCAAGGTCCTGGGATCTGACCTTTTGCTAAAACTTTATTCATGTCTAAGACTGGGGAGAGAATTCACATGTTGTTGTTGTTGGTTGCCATCGACCCTATGAACAAAACCCTGAAGCCTTTCTATAACTATTGTAATTTCCAGAGGCATGTTGTTTAGGAAGTGGATGCCACTCCTGCTTCCAAGAATTCAGACGAGGGAGAGCAAATACTTGGGGCTCAGGAGTGAGGCGCTTGCCCGTCCAAAATGCATGAGTCCTTGACGTAGTTTCTTAAGTTGCTTTAAGCAGATGGAGTGTCGCCCTCCACCCCTAGTTGTAATAAATGGGAAATATCAGTTAAAGGAGTTGTTTCCAAGGCATAAACCTTTACAAGAGTGGACTTCTCCAGCTGGGAGCTGGCACGACGGACCCTTTGATCAGGAGCTGGACGCCCTAACCGCTGCCACAACTCCTTTCAGAGGCAGACTTGTCACTCGTCTGTCACAAGACGTTCAAACTGGACCCAATGCCATCGAGAACGGACGTCAAGCCGGCATTCTTCTGGGGTGGTGATAAGCACAGGAAAGCGTTCACCCATCTTTTTCCCAAGGAGCAGCTGGCACATCAACCCACCAGAGAGGTAATACAGTGAAGTTAGAAGCTGAAGTTCTCCGGACTCAGCCCCTAGTCCTCCTTCACGAACTCTCAGTTCCCATTTTTCTAGAGCAGTATATAAATGGAAAAATCATGTAGTACATACTCTTTTTTAGCTTAGTTTTTTGAGCTCTGTATATTTATTTTGTGATTCATTTATACTGTTGAGTGTACCAAGTGTGTCCCACTGTATTACTGGAGTGTATTGCAGTGTCAGAACCACAGCTGACCCTCTAGCGGGTTTTCAGAGGCAGTAAATCACACGGGAGGAGATTACCCAGCCTTCTCCTGCAGAGCAGGTGGATTCAAACCCCACGCCTTTAGGATTGCAGGACAGTTTCTCATCATTAGGCCACCAGAGCTCCCTACTCCAGTCAGCAGATATCAACCCTGGCTTGAACCATGACGAATTGTGGTGTCTGTAAAGGACAGCAGGAAGGAGAGATGCTGGTGGGGGGCAGGAGGGAGAGGGCGAGAGCAGAAGGGAAAGGAAGGTACCACTCAGGACCAGGACACACGACCATGCAGCCTGCCGCTCCCCTGGCCACTGGGGAAAGCAGGTGAGGGTCAGCCATCCTCTGAGGTAGAGTCCACGTGGCTCTGGGCGCCCGGGCAGTCTTGTGGCTCTGAGCAATCCCGAAGGGGCAAGTGCAGGGGCTCCACCAGCGTGGTCCACGGACGTGCACCCCTTCATCACGCCCTGCCTGGACCCAGCATACTCGGTGTCTGGGGTTCACACTCTCTCCCAAGGCCTCGGGGTAGAGTTCTGGCCTCTGCGGTCGCAACATCAGCCTCCATCTGCCATCAGGATCTCCCCTTCCCCCGCACACACTCAAATGTCCTGAGTCGCCCACTGGCCTTCTCTACCTGGCACACACCTGAAGGATGCTGGCCCCGCCCCTCCTGCAGCAGTGCCTCCCGTGGGACGTGCTTGCTCTCTCGCGCCCCCTCGTGGTGAGGTCGGCCGCCAGCTCCCCAGTTTCCACAAACGGGCGCCCAGTGTCCTGCAAGGAGCCCCTCTACTCGTCCCTGGACACAAAAGACCACGAGCACTCCAGACAGGGCCTCAATCTCCTACACAAACAGCCACGAGCACTTCGGAAAGGGCCTCAGTCTCCTCACACATCCAAGAGCACGGCCATGGCCATAGTGGACACCTGGGAGGGGTGCTGGTTCCTGGGGGACATCTCAAGGGGAAAGAAGATTCCTGGACGAGTATGATGGATGCGAGCGTCCCCTTTATAAAGACTGAACTGTTGGTGACTGCTCTTACAGGGCCTGGGGCTTCCAGAAAGGAAAGAAAGATGGGGGGAAGGGGGGGGGAAGGGGGGGGGGAGGAAGGGAAGAAAGGAGGACGGAGCTACCCCTACTACGCATCCTCAGGTATCTGATTGCCTGCTGTTTTGTCTTTTCTCAAACCTCACAAGCTTCCCAGATTGTAGCTTCTGCCCTCTCTGCTCAGGACCCCTCCACCTGGCCTGGCCCTTGCTTGCACTGGGTGTTTGTTGCTTCTCTGAGCAGATTGGCCACCACAGGAGGCCCCCCAGGCTTCCTCCACTCTAGTGGGGGGGGGGCATGAGTGCTGGTGGCAGAGAGGGTGGTAAACGCCACGATTCCAAGCTGCAAAAATCCCTGGACTCAGAGACGCTCTGGCTTTTGTCAGGGACACCCCCTCCTCCCTGCTCGCCCTGGTGGATGAGTATCTCTGGGCTTTTCTCATCACAGCACTAGGTCGCCTGTCTGCTGAGTTTCTCTGTACCCCAGGGAATTCCCGTCCCACTGCCGAGGGTTACCTCTCCAGTCAGACCTCAGGAATCCAGTTCTCCTTAGCCTCACTCCCAGGCTGAACTTTTTTTTGTGGTTATGTGTGGTGGAGTTAGTTGCGATCAACACCTATGGTAACATCATAAGACAAGTTGCTTTGGAAAAAAATCTACTGTCAAGGATTTCTCCCAAGTGCAAAAGAACAGGAATGTCAGTTTAAAGATTAAAGTGCATCTGATCCAAGCCATGGAATTTTCAAGTGCTTCCTGTACATTGAAAGTTGGACCAGGAATACTGCTGACCTAAGAAGACTCAGTGCATTTGACTTGAGGAGGTGGAGAACTGAATACTCTACGGGCCGCCAAAGGGACAGACAAGTCTGTTGCTCAGAAACTCCACTAACAATGACGAGGCAGCTGGCGTTCCTTCCTTTCTGGCCCTTTCATCCTGCCTTTTCTGGGTAAGATAGAATATTTCGAGGACTCTTGAGGATGGGTCCTGTATTTCCTAGAAGGTTCTGGAAGCACAGGGAAAGGCTTCCTGCTCTGTCATTCTTCCAGTACCTGCTCTCTCTTCCTGTGTGTTTAACTTGAAGCCATCTGATGCTGGAAGAAGGTGCTCTGTTCACACAGTGCCTTACTTGTTAGTCTGCTAATTTAAAAGAAGCGCAGCCTTTCAAACCCACCAGCCAATCGGAGGGAGAACGATGAGGTGGTTCCATCCTGTGAAGATTCACGCTTGGAAATCCAGCGAAGGAACCAGCCAGGTGGTGTGGGCTCGCTTCTGGTTTTAGAATGCTTAGGGAAGCCGCTAGGAAACAGATCAAACTGATACTTGCTTTGAAAAAGGTTCTTTATTCTGTTTGTTTGTGTTTTTTTCTTTCTTTCTTTCTTTTTTTTTTTTTTTTTTTTTTTTTTTTTTTTTTTTTTTTGTTTGTTTTCTCCCACAAAGGAAAGCTCCATTTATTCTACAGGCTTCATTTACAAAAGGTCAAAGAAGAGCGCATGCCAGCAGTGAAGATTCACCACTGCACGGAGCACTGTGGAGCCTGGTCCCCGATTCCCTGGCATGTTCTGTCCCACTGCAGTCCCAAAGTCCACCTTTCCTCGCCCAGCCCAGCGTCGCCCCCTTCCCCCTTCCCCAGGTGCCTGTGCTGGTGGACAGAGCTGGGCGCTGCTGTTGGCCAAGCTCTGTGCTCTCTGCTCTCCCTTCCACACTCCAGTCTCCAAGCCCAGAGCCAGGGTCTGTCTGGGTGCACGCTCTGATCTTGCCTTCTCTGATTTCACATTCTGTAGCTCTGAGGTTGGCTTCTGAGGGCTTGTGTCCTCCTCTTCCCCAGCAGGAAGGCTGCCACCACCACCACCACGACCAGGAAGACCCCCACGGAGATGGCAGCTGCCTTAGCATCTTGTCCTTGGACACTGGTCACCTCCTGCTTACGTTCCCCTACCGACAGGTCTGAGGAGGAGAGAAGACAGGGGTGAGTCGGGATACAGAAGGGGCCAGAGTGAGACCGGATAAACATGGTGGCCCAAAGGTGGGTTCCCCTAGGAGCCACTTTGTCTGATGGATGCATCTAGGGAGATAAGAGAGGAGAGGGATTCCCAAAGGAAAACCTAGAGCAGAGCCCCAAGGGCTGTGGGTGTCAGCCAAGTCAGAGGGTACTACCCCGAAAACCCCAACCTATTGCCACCGTAGTGATTCCAACTAGGGCTGAGTCTAAGGACAAAGAACTGCACCATGGAGTTAACAAGGCTGTAAACCTTTACAGAAGCAGACGGCACATCTGTCTCCTGCAGGTCAGCTGGTGGATTCAAATTGCCAACCTTTCTGTTAGCAGCCCAGAGCTTAACCACTGACCCATCACAGCTCCCTCAGGACAGGTTACTCAGCAGGAACTAAGAGCTGGGCCCTGGCAGAAGCAGCATGGCCCGAGGGGCCCAGCAGAGTGGCTGGAGGGGCCCAGGGGATGACAGGGGAGAGAATCCGGGCATTTTAGGCAAACTGAGGGATTATTACAAGACTCAGGCAAGAGGTATGCAGGACTCGCTACAGGGCAGTGAGGCGAATGGGGGAGTAGTGGTGATATATTGCAATAAAGGGACTCACATGGGTTTTCTTATTTTCCAGTGCAAACAATGTAGCGTTAATTATTTATCCCCTCTTTTCTTAGTTTCCCCCCAACAATATACAATGAGGCATTATTTGCATAACAACAGTCCAGAATAAGAGGTACTAAGTGGACTGGGGTGGGGGAGAGGGAGGAAATTATACAACAATAAATGAATATATATATAAAATTTTTTAAGTGAACTAGGGGGTTGTAGGGAGGAAAATGTGCAACAATAAATAAATGGAAATCTAAGTTTTCTGTAAACTTTTGTTAAAATCACAATAAAAAATATTTTTTAAAAAAATTTACACTTGTACCATAGTGTGGACTATAAACTACACAACAGTGTGATAAAATGCTTGAAATATTGTGGGAATGACCGTAATGTGACGCAGGGACAGGAAGTGAGCACATGCTGTTGGGGAAATGGCCCTGTGAGACTTGCTCTGGGCAAGACTGCCGTGGACCTTCAGCTGGTGGGAAATGCACTATCAGCAAAGTGCAGCATGACGAGGTGCGTCCACTCTTGCCCACTGGACGGAAGTGCAGGGCAAAATTTTCGCTGGCTTTGTGGGTTCATGTTTCCTGGAACACCCAGCCGGTGCTAGTGACCTGAGTCCACTGTGATTCCCAGTGACCCCATGAGTGTCAGAGGAGGACGGGCTCTGTGGGGTTTTCGCCAGGCCTTGTTCCAAGAAGCGTCAGGGTGGTTCTGAACTGTCCCCTTTCAGTTAGCGTGTGTCACCTGTCCTAGCACTGACTGGCCTTCTGTAAATGTGCATGGAATGCAAGAATTAATAAGCACAGAGGCCAGAGTCCTCTGGACCTGGAGACTGGATTTGGGAGGAGGGAGAGAGAGAGGCTTCAGATACACTTATGGCATAGCCCTCAGGGAGGGTAACAACTCCTGCTAAGGCCACGCTCATGTCACCTACCCCCACACCATCTATGAATCTGCACGGCGTTCTAGGTAAGCCAAACCACTGTTGGGTTTTCAGAAGACTTCAGGGAATAGTTCTTGTTTAAAGGTTACCTCAGGGTTATATTTAGGGGGTTCATCCTTCACTCTGTGGCTCCAGAAAGTCTAGCGTTCATGATAATTTGAAATCTTTTATATAACCATCTCAACATTCCTTAGAGGGAAGGAGGTATTAACATTTTTATTTCTTAGGTGAGGAGCTTGAAGTCCTAGTGGTTCTGAGTCTACAGTAGCAAACCCTCTGCAGGGTTCCCACAGATCACTTGTCCCTGTGGGAGGGCAGGAACCATGTATTCTGTATCCTGAGGCCCAGCACCTAATAGGTGCTCAATTAGTATGGAAATATGACACCAGCAGAGACATTTCATACCCCCGAGGGCTTCCTGGACTAGCCTTTGATGGACGGTGTGTTCAGAGGGTGATCACTTACCCAGACTTCGCTTCTCTGGCACACGCAGCTGCACGGGGCCCAAGACCACGTCCACCTTCTCCTGGTAGGAGCCCACGTCCCTCTTGGACCTTGTCATGCAGCCTCTGTAGCACCGGGAGGTGTAGTCATAGGCTCTGCACACGACCATCTGACAATGCAGGTAGACGGTGGGGAAGTGGTTCAGGAAGTAGAAAGAGTTGAATTTGAAGCGAGCGGTGTGGGGTGATTGCTGGGAGTACGTTTGGTAGGTCTCATCCTTCACACACCTGGAAGAAGAGGAAAGCATGTGAGATCTTGCTGATGGGCTGAATCCTTCCCTAGCACTCTCCCTGTGCGAGCACATCTCCAAGGCATGCATGTATAACCCTTCTAGTGTTATACACAAGTATATATAATATAGCTGCAGAAGCCCTGAGGTCTAGTATAAGCCAAGGAATGAGGCATGCCCAACATAGAGCAACTACAGAAAGAGTGGAGATAGGAGCTGCCCAGCCAGGTGCCCTCGGGCCCCGCATGGACTCCGCTTAAGCCTCACTTAAGCAGAACTCAGCCACCCAGGGAGGCTGTGGAGGAGAGGCCGGATCCCACACGTCCCAGCCTGTATGCTTCTTCATCTCCGCGTCTTCTGAGCTTGGTTGGAACCTGGACTCTGAGAGTGGCCATCTTTAAGCTGATGGGCGCTCAGATGACTCCCCCCTGCTTTCGGTGGAACATTCTCTGGAGACCACCTACTGTGCCGCCTGGCTCAGGGCATTCTCCCTACGGCCTTCTGACGATGGAAGCCTCGTGACCCGGGCACAGCAGGCACAGAGCCATGCACTAGAGTTGTGTGGCGAGTACACAGCAGAGCTAGCATTTCAGTCTTGAAAGTTTTCCACACGACTTCCAGCTTTCTAAAACTAAGGCATGCCTGGAGTTCTAATCCCAATGGGATCGAATCCCAGTGTTACAGCTAATCTGATCACTGGGAATCCAAATCTCCAGACATTTCCCCATTTGTTAACCAGAGATGATGACCTGTGGTCTAGGACACAACACAAAAGAGCTTTAAAAGGTAAAAACAACAGGGTGTTACTTATATGTGGAGAAAGGGGCCCTGACTAAGACTGGGCTAGTGGGCAGTCTGAGTGACCAGAGTCTCCTGTCCTCACACCTTTAGCTCTGCTCATGCTGGAGTCACCCAGTAAAGTTTCAGGCCTTCCCACAGAGAGGTTCCTCACCCACTTCTGATGAGGTCATAAGTCTGCGATGTAAAGTCATTGGGATATGGTGATGCCACGCAGGTGTCCACAAACAAGGCTAGCGAGGCATCGGAATGCTCGATTTCAGCCTGAAGGTACAGATCCTGGTTCAAGTCCACGTAGTATGGGTAGGTGGTCACGGGATAAGAGAACGACGGGGAGGTGAAGAAGGAGACGTTGACTTTGAAATTGCTATACTGGACCTCCTTGACCTCGAGCGTGTCATTAGCAATGTACATTATGTCCACCCAGGTGTCCTGCAGCATTTTGCAGCTGACGTGAATGTGGAGGTCCTTCTTCCTTTTGATGATGCCCTCTGGAAGAGTTGCTTTGAGGAGATTGGAATAGGTGATGGTATCATTATCTTCCTGGAAGAGGCAGAGAACAATCAGGAAAATGCAGCCTGGTGAATCCCATTGCTGATGGAGGGATTGATGAAAGGGAAGGGACCCGCCCACTCCCCAGACCTCAACTCCAAGCAAACGTGGTGCACACCTGCTGCTACGGCTCGGCTCGCACTGTCTGGCTGAATGTTTAACTTTACTCGTAAGACCCCTCCTCCTCCATGTCCCACTTCTACCCTGTCTGTGGTGGGTGACGACGGTGTGGACACCTTGGGTCCTCCTCTTGGTGATGAGATGAGTGGACTAGACAAATCATTGTCCTGACATGTAATAAACTGGGTTCAGAAATGTTCCTGCGTGTCCTGTGTCGTGAGGGCATCTGGGAGAGACCAGGGACAGGCAGCCCTGTACTTGTGAGAGCGGGACTTGGAGGGGTCAGTATCCAGCGTGTGCTAATTGGTGGGGAACTTCAACAGCATGGTGTCTGGAGTTGGGAAAGCTACAACCATCATCAGTTGGTACCTCTGTCTCTTCCTTTTTCCTCTCTGAGGCTAAGTGAGGGCCTAGGGCAAGGCCGGCCTGGCCAGCAGGAGGTGACAGAGCCCATCCAATGGACAAACAGCTCAAACAGGACAATGGGTTATCTAGAGTTTTGTGGGAAGATGGACACCCGCTTGCCATGCAATTTCCTGCTTCTTAAAGCCCACTAAAGAGTCAGCTGTGAGTTGGTTCTGACTCGAGGGAGTCAAAATTGACTCTAGCTGTGGATTTCCAACCATTATGTCCCTATGTATGAAGTAACCTGGGTTGCTGTGATGCTGAACCTTGTACCACTGGGGTATCAAATACTAGAATGGCTTCCCAATGTGGTGGAGCTCCCAGTTGTAAAATAGGTTTGGAAGCAGGAGTGGCATCCACTTCCTAAACCACATGCCTCTGGAAACTCTATAAACTTGGAGGAATGACGACAGTTATGGAAAGGCATTAGGTCTTTTGTTCATAGAGTGGCTATGAGTCGCACTAGACTCGACAGTAGCATGTCCCTGTAACACCAGAGTCCCCTTCCTCGAGTCCCCAGCACTCAGGACTCCAGACCCCCATCGCTATAAGGAAAGCCCCTTGCCCGGGCGTACCTGTCTGGTGGTGCCGCAGCTGGTGTAGGGGATGTTGAATATCACCTGGCTCTGGGTGATCTGGGGCCGACACACGGAGCTGCCGCTCCAGCCCGGGACTTCAAGGCTCTCCACCAAGTAGCCCAGGGACTGCAGGTAGGTCCGGCTCACGATGGCTTGCATGTGATTCGGCAGACACACCAGCTCTGAGGGTGAGGCAGGCAGCGCACCAAGTCAGTGTCCTGACCCACAAGCGTTCTTCCCGTAGAAAGAGGCACAGCTCAAGGTGGCCCAAACCCAAGGGCAACGGGCCCCCAATCCTGAACTACCCCATAGCTTAAGTCAGGCCCCACCTCATGAGGTCCCACATGGCCTCAGGCTGTCTCTGCTGATGAGACTTTTATAGCTGAGTGAGGGGAAGACTAGGACATAGGTCAGCTATGTGGGAAGTCAGTGCAGAGAGACCAGTCTGTGTAGGAGAACGCGGCGGCACCCACCGTCGGCTGCCTGTCAGGCCCTGTGACAGGTCGGCACACGGCTGGCAGCCTCTGCTGGCACCTCAGGCAGCATCGAAGGGTCACTGCATTTCCTTGTTTTCAGATGCAATTTCTACCCACACACCCTTGTTCTGCCCTCTCAGAATAAAAGGGGAACTCCCACTGACCAAACATCTCACTGGGTCTCCCCAGCCTTACAGAGAGGGGAAATGGGGGTTCAGAGAAGGCAAGGATGTGTGACTCAGGCCCCGAGTTCTTTCTTGACTCTGAGCTACTTCTGGAAGGTCACTCTTCCCTTCCTGTTCCTCTTCTGAGACTGTGGGCACCTGGTCGCCCTCCCTCCTCTCTCTCCCCCTCCCTCACTCTCTCCCTCTCCCCTTCCTCCTCTCTCTTCCCTCCTCTCCCCTTTCTTTTTCCCACCCCTTTACCTCTCCTGTCTTGACTGCCTTCTCTCCTTCTTCCTGAGCTCTCTCCAGACTTCCCTCTTTTTCCTCTCTGCCCTCCTCCCTTCTCTCTCTCCTCACCCTCCCTCTTTGTCTCTACCCTTCCTCTCCCACCTCCCCCCTTCCTCCTTCCTTCCTTACTGACTCCCTAGCACCATCTATTCCCTGTGTTCAGTGCCTCTTACTGGACATCTGTGAAGACGAGTCACATGGTAGTTTTTTGGACTTTAGCATCTCTCCTGCCTTCTCCCTCTCCGTCTCCTGCTGCCTTCCCTCCAAGCTCCTGGGCCCTCTTTCCCTGAGTAAACACCCTCCTCTCCTGTCTTTCTTACTTTCAACTCCTCCAAGCATCCAGGGTCTCTGGTAAGGCCCCTGTTTAGAGGGTGCAGGTGGCCGTGACCAGCGCAGACACAGCGCAGCCTCCTCTACAGTGGATGATGATATCACTAGTTCCTGCTGTTTCTTACATATGTTCAGTCAGTTCCCAGGGCCCCTGACCACCGGCTGACCTCCCCTGAGTCATGTGAGTGTGGAACAGCCACTCCTCTGCTTTCTATTACTGAAAGCATCTCTTACTCCTTCTGTCTAGCCCTGCTGATCAAGGCGAAGCCACGCTCCCATTCCCTGGCCTCTTCTGGCTCTCGACCTTGTTTCTGGTGGTCAGACTCCCAGACCCTTGCCCTCTTTCAGCACCAGCCACTCTTGGGGACCTGGCCAGCCTCCTCCACCGTCTCACTTGGCGAGCGGGGCACCTTGGCCCGGTGCTGCCCAGCTCCCGCGTGGACACTCACTGGTGCTGCTGCTGGAAGGGCTGGAATAGTACTCAGCCCGGAAGCCGGACCTCGTGATGCTGTGGTCGCTGACGAAACGCACGGCCATGAAGTTGGACGACGATACGAAGGAGCCAGTGCTACACACCCGAGCAATGAGTGGGGAACTGTGAGAGGGGCCGTCGAAGACTTCGATGTAATCATAGTTGCAGCCGCCTTCCAGCCTGCAGGGAGGGGCACAGGGGGCCTCAGGGTCAGCCAGGGCCAGGTGCTGGGGTCCCAACTCTCCTGGAAACTCTGACGAGCAAATGAATGAAGATAATAACACCCCAAATACTAAACCGGTTCCTGGTGAGTCCAGTCAGGCGCGGGGAGCCCAGGTGTTTCAGGACAGAGCTAAGACCTCATGGGACTCTCAGCAGCTACTGCTTTTCCCAAGTACATCACCAAGGCACCTCTGGGGGGAGTTGAACCTCCGGTCTTTGAATTCACAGTCAGGTGCTTAACTGTTTGTATCCTCTAGATAACAAAGATCCTCAGATGGAGGGGACAGGCGCACATACGAGATGGATGTCTGCCTCCGGGCAGCGCAGTGCGCACATAACAAAGTGGACTGCTGACTGGAAGCCTGGTGGTTCGACTCTGCCATCTGCTCCAAGGGGGTGAAGGCAGGTTGTCTCCTGTCAGGGTCTGCGACCTTGGGAAGCTGGAGGTGCGCTGCTGTGAGTGGGGCTCGGTCCCACAGGAGCCCTCGTTCTTTCCTTCTAACAGTCCCCAGTGAATTTGTACGCAAATAACATGCGCTGTCTAGATTTGTTGGCCAATTGTTCTTTTTTTCCAGGAGATATTTTTTGTATGACGATTTTTTAGTATATTACTGTTTAAGAACTAAAATCATCACAGCGCATTTATAAAAACACATCTGAGGAAAGGTAAGGGGTCAATGTATGTAGAAAGCACGTGATTTGTGTAAAAACACAATTTATCACAATAGAAAGGGATCATAGTCAGCCTTGAACCACTTTTCCTCAATGAAAAGGGCTCATTTCTCCAGGGAAGAAAATAAACACCTCGGAGATCCTAGTGAGGATACTATTTGGATGAAAAAATATGAGGCAATTCACTGCACCTCATGAAAGTTCCAGGTTCTCACTTACTATGGCTAAATAAGCCCACACATGCTTACTTCAGAAGCTACTGTGTGAATCACCGGAGATAATATATAGAACAGTCTAGACTGACTGTAAAGAAAGAAGAAAGCAATTGCTGTATGTGGAGTCTAATGCCAGACGACCCCCTCTGTCGGTGTAGACCCGGTGGATCTGAACCACTGGAGAGGCTCAGCCCTTGAGTTACCAGCACGACTTCTACAGAAGACACCACCGAGCCCCTGGTGAAGTTCCAGGTCCCGTTCATGCCCTGTTCCCAGTACCTCTGTCACCCAGGGCACCCGCTTTGTCCCAGCACTTACTGGACATCCGTGAAGATGATGGTCACGCGGTAGTTGTTTTGGACTTCAATGTTCCAGAGACAGTTGGCACCGTTTGGATAGTTCCCGGGGTAGAGGGGGCTGGAAATCTGCCCTGAATACTGGGAAAGGAAGCCCCCGCAGGAGTAATTTTCTGTTGGGATAAAATGACATTGTTGGTAAAGGAGTTGTACAGTCACCTGAGGGAAACGTCTTTTAACAATTCCCAAGACAGAGATGGCACAGACATGAGCAGTGTTTAGCCCAGGACCTCCCACGGCCTCTGAGATGCAGGTGGGGAGAGGCTGGGGAGGTGCATGATCCCAGAGGAGGGGGAAGCTACCTCCTCGTCATGTTCCTTGTCCTCTACAGGGCGGTTTTCACGGAGAGAAGGGAGAGGAGAGCTTGGTTACCCAGCCCTGAAGGAGCCAGGATTTACTGGGCTGAATTTACTGGTGATGTAAACAGCAGCTGTGGATTCTGCCTTGTGATAATCACTGCAGCAGAGTCAATTCCAACACATGCGACCGCCATCGGATTTCAAAACGGTACATCTTTATGGGCAGAGACTACCCACCCCTCTCAGATCAGTGGGTGGATTTGAACCATTGACCTTTAGGTGAGCTGGCCACCATGTAAATTACTGCAACGCCAGGGCTCCTTTCATTACATGCGAGGTGGGGAAGATGCAGAATCACCTGGGGGATCTTGTTAACGTTCAGATTCTAACTAGGTATGTCTGAGATGGGGACACAGAACTCAGGGGATGTGACAGCCAAGAGGGGGCTGAGACAGAGGTTCTGGTACTTACGTGGCGTGGTGCCCTGGCTCCCTGCAAAGAGAGAGAAGAAAAGTCTGTCACAAGAGCGTGGGCAGGAGTTGTCCACGTAACACCGCACCCACATGACTCACAACATGGGCCGGGGACTGAGCGTGTCCCTGGGAACCACTGCCCATAAGAGAAAGCTGAAGTGTGTCTCCCCTCACTGCTCCCCCACGCTCTCATTATCTGGGGCACATGGGCACCACATTTGGCCAGTCATCTTTTCATTTACTTTCCTGTGTGTCCTGGCATTGCTGTGTCCCAGTCTTTCAAATACCATGGTGGACAAGTTTCAGTAAAGTTTCCAGAATAAAATGAATTAGGAAGAAAGGTCTAGAGCCCGGGCCCTACAATTAGCTCTGAATATTGCACTAGAGCAAGAAGCCAAAGCAAAAGGAAGAAACCAAGAATTTAAGGAGCTGAATAGAAGATTTCAAAGGGAAGCTTGGGAAGAAGACAAGGCAAAATATTATAGTGAAATATGCAAGGAGCTGGAGTTGGAAAATCTAAAGGGCTGAACTCATTCAACATTTCTTAAGCTGAAAGAACTGAAGAATAAATTCAAGCCACAAGTTGCAATGCTTAAAGATGCTACTATCAGAATATTGAATGATTCAGGAAGCATTAAAAGATGGAAGGAGTTTACAGAGTCATTGTACCAAAAAGAATTGGTTGACAGAGAAGAATTTCAAGAAATAACATATGAACCAGAGGCATTGGTGATGAAAGAGGAAGTTCAGGCTGCTCTGAAGGATTTTGACAAAAAAAATAAAGCCCCAGGAATTGATGGTATACCAACTGACATATTTCAACAAACAGATGCTGCCCTGGATGTGCTCACCAAGTTGTATCAAGAAATCTAGGGGACAACTACTTTATCAACTGACCGGAAGAGATCCATATTTATTCCCATTCCAAATGATCTGACAAAGTGTGGAAATTATCGGACAATATCACATACTGGAAAAATCCTTTTGAAAATTATCTAAAAATGACCCGAACAGGACATTGACAGAACCACCAGAAATACAAGACGGGTTTAGAAAAGGTCATGGCACTAGGGAGACATTATTGCCACTCTCAGATGGATCTTGGCAGAAAGCAGAGAGTACCAGAAGAATATCTATCTGTGTTTCATTGACTATGCAAAGGCATTTAACTGTGTGGATCACAACAAATTGTGGCTAACCTTAAGGAAAATAAGAAACCCAGAACACTTGATTGTACTTATGGGAAACCTATACTTGGACCAGGAAGCTGTCCTCAGAACATAGCAAGGAAACACTGAATGGTTCAAAATCAGGAAAGGAGTGTGTCAGGGATGCATCCTGTCCCTGTACCTTTTCAATCTGTTTGCAGAACAGATCATTCAGGAAGCAGGGCTTTATGAGGAGGAATGTGGCATCAAGATTGGAGGAACACTCATTAACAACCTATGATAAGTAGATGACACAACTTTGTTTGCTGAAACTGAAGAAGACCTGAAGTGCTTGCTGCAACAGATCAAGGACTGTAGTCTTCAATATGAACTGAAGCTCAACATCAGGAAGACAAAGATTTTCACCACTTAGACAACAGGCAGCACTATGATAGATGGAGAAGAGATTGAGGTTGTTAGTAATTACAGCTTGCTCAGATCCATAGTCAACACTCTTAACACCAGTCAAAAGACAAACTGCACTGGGAAAATATGCTGTCAAGGGCCTCTCCCTGAAGAGCAATGATGTCAGTCTAGAGACAAAGGTGCGCCTAATCCAGGCCATGGTCTTTACAATTAGTTGTTATGCTTCAGAAAATTGGACAATGAGTAAGGATGACAGAAGAAGAATTGATGTCTTTGAGTTGTGGTGCTGGAGAAGAGTCTTGAACATATCATGGATCGCCAATAAAACAAATAGGTCTGACTTGGAGAAGGTGAAACAAAGTCTCTGTTTGGAGGCTAGGATTTTGAAGCTGTCTCACATAATTTGGGCACAAAGTGGCTAGGAGGGACTGGTCCTCAGAGAAAGACATCATGCTTGGAAGGGTAGACGGACAGCACAGAGAGGAAGACCCCAGATGAGAAGGGTTGATAAAGTTTCTGGGACGATGAAGGTTGGTTTGTAGGAATTAGTGAGACTGGCTCAGGACAGGGAAGGGTTCAGAGCTGCTCTACACAGGGTCGCTATAGGTCACAGGTGACTCAACAGCACATAACAACATACCATATTGGTTGTTCTTATTTAAGCCTCTTGTTTAGAGTCAACACAACTTCATGGAGGGCCTTTGTATTTAAAATTCAGTTGTTATTATATTTTGGAGGAACATTCTTCTAAGTGGTACAGCACTCTTCTGTCAATAGGCTGTACTGAGGTAACCTGGCGTTGCTTTGATGCTGAACCTTGTGTTGCTGGTGTGTCAAATGCCATAATGGTTACCCATGGTGGACAGTGTTTGGTGGAGCTCCCAGTTTAAGACAGGTTTGGAAGTAGGAGTGGCATCCACTTTCTAAACAACATGCCTCTGGAAACTCTATGAACTTTGAGAAATAATAGTTATAGAAAGGCTTCAGGTCTTTTGTTCATAGGGTTACTATGAGTGGTGCTTGACTTGATGGCAATCAACACCACCACCAAAACAACCAGTGAAAGCCCCCACAGAGTACAACAGCAGATTGTCCCATCCAACATGCCCACACCACTGACAATGACACAGGACAGGCAGGCTTCCACTCTGTGACATACAAGGTCATCAAGGATCAGGGCTGACTTAGTGACAACTGACACGTTAGCCACCATCGTGTCTACCATTATTCAACAACTCCCACCTGCCCTAAGGGTTAACGGCATTTAATCCTCCCTGCAGCCAGGGTGCTCCTTGGAGGCAAAGATGAAGCTTCATCTCACACACTTCGGGCATTTTGCTAGGAGAGGCTGTTCCTTGGAGAAGGACATCAAGCTTGGGAAGGTGAGGGATGGTGAAAGAGAGGAAGAACTTCAACCAGATGGACTGACACAGTGACAGCAGCAATGTGCTCAGGTGTGTCAGATGTGATGAGGATGGCACAGGACAGGGCTCAGATCTCTTGTTCATAAGGTACTCGACTCAAAGACACCTGACAACAAATTGCCACTGGAAACAAATACCGTTGTTGTCAACTCCGTAAAATAAAGGGCAGTGTTGTTTGGAGAAGTTTGATCACATCTAAAGGTTTACAAGAGAGATAGAAAAGCACGTGTCCAGCTTGGTTCCTGGGCCCGAAAACTGGCCATAGACAAAGTGGGCCCTGCATAACCTGCTAGAGCAGCTAGACCAAGGGGGCCTGCTACAAGATGACATGCTCCTGCCTGCACCCCAGAACTGAGCCAAGATACCCACAGCTGCCAGCCGTAAGCTTTCATCTTGTGCCAGTGAAAGGGATAATGTGTCCCCTAGAATCATGGCTCACGTACCTGAGCAGATGACGGCAGCATCCTTGTGGTGCCCACAGTTATGGCTGAACCAGCCTCTGTTCTGGCATTGCCAGAGTGTTGATTCCGTCCCTGAGCACTCCACGTCGTCCAGGGTGATGGGGCCAAAGCCAGGGCCAAAATAGGCACCTCCCAGGACTGCTGTTGCATTTCCGCACCCCAGCTGTCTGCAGACCACCTGAGCATCTCGGAAATCCCAGAAATCATCGCAAACTGTTCCCCAGCTCCCGCTGTGGTAAACTTCCACGCGTCCAGCACATGTGCTGCTGGAGGAGTTGGAATTGACCAATCTCAGTTGGGCATCTGAAAGACATAGGTCATAAAAGGTACGGTCACGACCTCTGAGGAGCTTAAAGGCCCACTAGCGCACAGGCTGGTCTCCTCCCATCATCATCAAATGAAACCGTATAAACGTCATCTGTCAGCGTGTTCTACTAGGATGCTGTTAGGATGCTGAAAGTTTTCCCACCACTATTTCAACAGGTCTCAATGAAGTTTTCAATTAAAACACACTCAGAAGAAACACCTGATGAGTTACTCTTGAGAATGAACCAATGAAAATCCTATGGGGCCAAGAGACTACTTTCTGCTGGGATGTCGTTCATGGTGTCACCGTGAGTTGGAGCTGACTTGATGGCAAACAACAACACGTGAGTGTGGAAAGTGAATCCCCCATGGCGATGCTGGGTGGTACTCTAGCATTACAGAGCTCAGACGCCCTCACCCTCTAGCGTGGAGGGAGTTAACCTCTAGGAACTGTCCCAGGGAGGTGGAGGACATGTCTCCTACTCTCCACATCAGCTAAACGCCTTCTCCCTTCTGGAGTCCAGCGGTCAGTTGTGATAGGAGGAGCACCAATGAGGCATCCCTGAAACCTTCTGTGATTTCATGGAGGAACCACCACGCAGGCAGAAGAGAGGTTGTTCGGCTCACTGAGCCTCCTGAGTGAGGCATGGTTTGCACTTACCCTGGGGGTTTGCGCTTACCCTGGGGGAAGGAGTTATACCAAGCAGAAAATCCAGTGTTTTGGAAACTGACATCACTCCGAAATAGAACAGTCATTCGGTAGGAAGAAGATGTGAATATTCGGCTGGTGTTACTACAAATCCTTCCCAGTAAATTGCTCCTGTTCAGTGGTCCATCAAAGATTTCAATGTAATCATAACTGCAACTGCTGTGCATCTCCAACCTAGAGAGAAAGAGGACCAAGTTGAAGGTCTCGCATCGAGATGGAAATCCACTGCTCCTAGCTTTGGGCATGTTGTCGGGGGGACAGTCCCGGGAGAAGGGCAGCAGACTGGGTGGAGTAGAGGGTCAGCCATAGAGAGGAAGACCTCAATGAGATGGATTGCCAGTGACCTTAAACCCAGCAATGGGAGTGAGAACGCCACAGGAAAAAGACAAGGGGGTTGCTACGATCTGGAAATTATTTGATGGCACTTAACAACAGCAATGCCCCAAGATTTTCTTGATAGTTTGAAGCTTCTGAATGATGTTTTTGAATCAGAATTTCTCCCAATATTGTCTGATACTGCACAGTCGGGATCAAAGCAACTCCAAGAGGTCTTGGAGGTTAATGGACCATGAGCGTGCCTTGCAGTCAGCCCAGGGAACACCAACCCCTCACGCCAGACGTTGGACTCATCCTCCGCCACGTGACCTGGCTACTACTTACTGGACATCTCTGAAGCCCAGGTTGATGCGGAAGTTATAATTCACTTGTATTTCCCAGATGTAGGTAGCATTGTTGGGGTAGAATCCAGGGTAGTAGGGACTGTGGATTGTCCCGCTGGCATTGTATAAGTACTCAATGTTATAAGGAGGTCCTGTAGAGAAAGACAGGGACAGCTTCATTGTGGCGCTCTTCTGAGAAGCACCGGACTGGCAGCACAAGCCAATTTCTTTGGGGCAAGTCTGCAGGTTTTCAGCCAGTACACTGAGGGCATAATGTGGTTTAAATTTTCCAATGAGCAAGTCTCACTGCGCAGGCCTGGTTCTGAGCTGTCAGTCATCAGAGGCCTTGATCAATCTTTCTGTTTCCCTCACTGGCTATAGAACAGTGATTGCCTCATGGTACAGGACCACGTTCAGAGGAAATATGTTTGCATCCACAGCAAAATGCCGAGAAAGCAACAAAGAAGCCGTCGTGTTCTACCCAGCAGACATTATTCAGACAGAGAGGCGTGCGGGGTACACCATGGCCAGGGAGAGTGGCTGGCACCGAGTGAATCTGGAGCATCTCCTGGGATTCTGCTCTTTAAAGACACAGGACAAAGTGGGCTCAGGAGCAGGGTTCCCGCCGCAGAAGGTCACTCTGCCTTTTTAACACCATGACCTTCAGCACCTTTCTTCATTTCTTTCGCCTCAGTTTCCACCTCTGACAAAGAAGGATAATCATAGCGTTTGCTTTGTCAGATTCTTCTAGGAACTAAATTAAATAATACAGGTAAACTCTTATAGAAGCGCCTGGTACACAAAGCATGAAACAACGGCAGCCATTATGATTTATAGGAGAATCCCACCTCCAACCCACGAGGAGTGTGTCCTATTCTTCCTGCTTCTAGAAACACGAGAGGATGGGATTCAAAAAAGGAGTGTTTAGGTAGAAATGACTCACGTGTGGGAGGAGGAGGTGTTTCTAAACCTGAAAGAAAGAATGACAGAGAAAAAAGTCAGGGTCAGTGTGCAGGGTACACTTTAGGGCAAACTTGGAATCCTGAGCAAGAGAAACTCGGGGTGCTCGCACCCTCCACGGCACTTAGAAATGCTCCCCTTGAGTCTTCTGGGAGAGTCACATGGCAGACATGAACTTTAGGGGTGAGACTAGCGACAAGAGAGCATTTGGGGAGCCTGTCCTTACCACCTAAACGTGGCTCAAGCCCTTGCCAGCTCTTCCTGTCTCGTGATGCTTACAGGGACGGCCCTGTGACTTGTTCATAACATTCAGGAAGGCAGAGAGGACGAGCACAGGCTCAGAAACGCTGCCAGTTCGGCTCCAGGTCAGTACAAAAAAAAAAAATTAAGCAAGTCCTAGAAAATACCTGGTTTTCCAATATACACAAAATTTGCATTTGTCTCTACTGGAGCCACTGCATGTTTAACATTATGAAAAAGTGTGAAATTGACAGGAGTCCAGAATGAACCGGCACAGTGGACTGAGGGAGCAGATTGTACAACAATGAAAGATTTTCTTTCTTTTTTTTTTTTACTTATCAAAGAGAGATGCAAACTGGGGGTGGGAGGGGAGGGAGGAAAGTGTGTAACAATGAATGGATGGAAATCCAAAAAAATAAATAAAATTCAGAGACTGGAAAAAAGAAAGAGGAAAAAAAAAAAGAAAAGAAAAAGTGTGAAATTCTGTGTCAATGACCACAAAGTGACACAGGAACAGCAGGTGGACACTTGCTGATAGAAAAACGGTGATATACCGGCATGTTTCAGGGTTGCCACAGACTCGCAGTTTGTAAATAGCACGCTATCTTTGAGGCACAAGGAATCGGAAGTACGCTGGCAAATCTCTTTGGAGATATTGAGGAAGCCTCTCCTTTTCCAGAAACTCTCAGAGTGAGGGGGTCCAGCGCAACAAGGACCCTTTCTTGGAGAAAATCACACACTAAAATAGAAGGTAATGTCACAGAGCCCACCTGAGCAGACGACGCCGGCGTCCTCATAGTGTCCGCAGTTGTGGGAGAGCCAGCCGTTGTGGGGGCAGCTCCACAGGAAGGACTCGTGTCCTGAGCAGCGCAGATCATCCAGGACAATCTGTCCTGAGCCCTGGCCGAACCTGGCATTTCCTGGAGCTGACACAGCCCAGCCACAGCCAAGTTGCCTGCAGACCACGTTGGCATCATTGATGTCCCAGCTGTCATCACACACGGTGCCCCAGGAGCCTCGGTACAGGACCTCCACTCGCCCTTGACATTGGTTACTTCCATTCACCAGCCTCAGGGCCAATGAAGAATCTGATCCTAGAAAGGAAGCATAAACGCTCATTCTCTCCTGAATCTCCTGGTGGAGAAATTCTTGAGGTTCATGTGAGAGTCAACATTCTTCCAATGAGTCAAGACTTTTGATTAGTTACGTGAACCAAAGAATTTCCTTTATGCCAAGAGGGTTTGAGGTGGGTGCTCATGCTAGGAAACAAAAGCTCTGGGACCGATATCTTCCCATAACCTCTTCCTGGCGGTCAGTTCAGAAAGAGTAGGCGAAAGGCTTCTTCCCATGGCTGAGGTAGAAGCTGTTGAGGTCTAACTCAGGAACCAGGGATTTTATGAAAGCCTACTGACAAGAGTGTTGAAATTGACAGTTTGGATGGGATAAAATTATCCTTACCAATAAATGGAGTTGTTGTATCCCACCAGTCTGGGGAGAAAAAAAAAACAGAGCAGGATTAGAAGAGTGGACATAGGGTCAATGCTAGGTCTAGAGACCTTTACCTGGGGGCAGAGACGGTGTGGTTTTTAGAAACTAAAGGGTTCTTCTGGAGAGCTTGAAATGAATGAAAACCATGCTTCTGAATGTCTACTCCCATTCTAAAACAGGTCAATACCGAGAAAGCAATTGCCATTCTCATTCTCTAACAACAGATTGGAAGCAGGAGAGGCATCCACTTCCTAAACAACATACCTCTGTAAACTCTATGAACTTTGATAAGTGACAATAGTTATAGAAAAGCTTCAGGCCTTTTGTTCATAGGTCCTCTATGAGACGTGCTCGACTCAATGGCAATTATCATCAACAACAACGATAGCTTGTTATTTGTTAAAAACATCACTTACTCTTTTTCCATGGCTATGAAATGGTAAGTCTGTTATTCTCTCATATATAGCTCTTTACAGCAGAAACGACTCAACAGTAGACCTCCTTGTACCCTCATAATCTCTAGATGGGTTCTGCTAAGTAACCCTATCTATCAAGGGTTATGATGCTTTATTCGACCAAATCAGACCAAAGAGCCAATGTATTGAAAGTTCAATCGTACAAGCTACATACTTTAAGTCATTAAAGAAGACAGAGAAGAGGCAAAAGAATTTCACATTCTTGGACCAACAGTGTAATCAGGTGACTTAGGAAGAGCTAAACAGGCTGACCCATTCCCTGGCAGCAATAAGGGGCATAAACTCGACTAGATCCATCACGGTTTTCCTGGGAGTTGTGTTTTTTTTCTCCTCAGGAGTTTCAAGAACATCTGAAGAAGGTGCTTCACTCCTTTCCGTGCCACAGACTGAGCTGGTCAGGGACAGGTTGGGGCCCGCAGACAGCATCCTTCCTACCTTTTAGGGAACAGCGACCTATTAGTGAATGTTTATAGAAGTAAATGAGGGACATGAGCAAAGATGCAAAGCCGTGGTGCCAATCCTTAGAGTGACAGAATTTCGCTCTTTCTACAGTCTGGCCACCTGGAATGGTTGGTCAGCTAATTTCCTCACAGTCTAAGCTAATTTGAATTCCGAGTTACCATTACATTCAAACTGAAATGTGTTATGAGGGTATCTTTTGTCCCTGCTGCCATCACACACTGAACACCAAGAACATTAGAACAGAACTTCCCCCTGGTCCTGACACTAGTCCTTTCCATTCAGCAGCCTCAGGCTGGCACCAAGTCCAGGGATGTATGTGGTGTGGAATCTTCCTCCACGGAGACCTCTCGTTGTCACTGGCCATGTAGGTCCTGGACAATGATTAGCATTCATAGTTGAGTGTTGGTGTTTATCCTTGCCCTCCATCTCTAAAGCCCTTGATGTTCAATGAGTCCGTATTTGTTTCCGATTTAGAGGAAGTTAGAGTTCCCTAAAATAAGTCCGTCTTCCCAGTGTTCTGTCTTTTAGTCTATGTTGTTGTTATCATTAGGTGCCATTGAGTTGAATATGATTCATAGTGATCTTATGAATAACAGATCTGAACTCTGTCCTCTCCTGTGCCATCTTCATCATCTCTGATGAACCCATTACTGCAGTCACTGTGTCAATCCATTGGGTTGGGGGCCTTCCTCTTTTTTATTGACCCTCTGCTTTTCTAAGTATGATGCTCCTCTCCAAGAAATAGCCTCTCCTAGCAACATGCCCAATGTATGAGGATGAAGCTTCACTATCCTTGCTTCCAAGGAGCACTCTGGCTACACTTTTTCTAAGACATTTCTAATATTTTGGCAGTCCATGAGATATTCAGTGCTCTTCTTCAACAAAGTAACTCAAAAACATCAATTATTCTTCTCTCATCTTTATTTCTTTTTGAACTCTCAGGTGCACAGAGTGACTAGAAAGACCATGGTCTGAGTCAGGTGCACCTTGGCCTTCAAACTTGCATCATTGCTCCTCAGTAATTTGGAGAAGTCCCTGACAGTGGACTTTCTCAGTGCAATACGTCTCCTGGCCTCCTTGCTGCTGGTACCAAGGGGGTTGATTGCAGATCCAAGTTATACGAACTCATCGACAACTTCAGTCTTCTCTTCATCTATCATGATGTTGCTTACTGGTCCAGTGAGGAGGATTTTGGTCTTGATGTTAACATGCAACTGTATTGAAGACTGTAGTTAGTCTTTGATCTTCCACAGCAAGTGTTTTAAGTCCCCCTCACTGTCAGCAGGTAAGTTATTTACATAATGCAGGATGTTGGTAAGTCTTCCTCCAATCCTGACGCCACATTCTTCACAGTGTCCAGCTTCTCAGCTGCTTTGCTCTGTGTATTGATTGAATAGGTATGGAGAAAGTTGCAACCCTGACACACAACTTTCCTGATTTTAAACCATGTACAATTCCCTTGTTCTGCTCGAATAACAGCTTTTTGGTCTAGGTACAGGTTTTGTATGAACATAATTAAGTGTTCCAGGATTCCCATTCTTCTCAATGTCAGCCGTAGTGAGCTACTCCAAATCATTCACCAACAACTGGCTTCTCAGTTTCCTGGGCATCACATCTGTACAATCAGGAAATGGGCATGCTAATCACATCTACCTCATCCAAAATTCGCCTTGGAATTTGTTCTCTGGCATAAACAAGACTGCCCTGCCCCTCCCTGTTTAAAGATTTGCTGACATGTGGTCAAGAGCAGGGTCCACACAACTATGAGTGCAGCTGTGCTGACCCCCCAGAACTCCTGACCCTCCAGACACAGAGATAATCTGGAGATGCTTATCTGGCTAGCCGCTAATTCGGATATTTCTTCCTGGAGGGTGTGGTATTCCTGATGTTGGGTTTGGTTTAAGAAAAAGCTCAATTTGGAGACACACTTCCAGAACAGTGAGGGTATTCCAAAGCACGAACGGACAGAGAGTTTCAAAATGCAAGCATTTTCTCCGGTCCTGACTCTCAGACCGCACGCCTGATCCCAACCCAGGACTGGGGAGAGGATGACTGGCGACTCGTCCCGCCCCCAAAAGCGTGAAAACTGGATATAAAGGCACATCAGAGCTCCTCCATGGAGCATTCATATTTAACTCAGCCTATGTACGAACAGTGCTCAGGCTGTTCGTTCACAGGGTCGCTATGAGTCGTCTACGACTCGACGGCATTAAACAACAATAACAATGACAATGACCAAGAGAGAGCTACGTTGGCCTAGTGGAAAGAAGCTGTGCTACCAAGCCGAAGGTGGGTGATTGTCCTCTGCGGCCCTCGGCCAGGTTCAAATTGTCTTCCTGTCAAACATTCTTCTAGGTGGTATAGCACTGGTCTGTGCGTTGCTGTAGAGAGGTAACTCGCGGTTGCTGTGATGCTGAAGCCTGTGACAGTGATGTGGCAATTGTGGTAATGGGCACCCACAGTGGACAGTGTTGGCTGGAGCTTCCCGACTACATCAAGCCTGGAAGCAGGAGCGACATCCACTTCCAAAATGGCTTGCCTCTGGAAACTCTATGTACGAACAGCGCTCAGGCTGTTCGTTCATAGGGTCACTATGAGTCATCTACGACTCGACGGCATTAAACAAACAACAACAACAGCTATCTGGGGAAGGTAGCCAACTCCTCAGGAACAAGGAAGGAAATAGTGATGGACATAGGGAAGACGTGACAACCAACAAGCCGCGGGACTAGGAGAGAAAGCAGAACTCCAGCCACGACTGCTTTCTGGGTTTCTCATACCTTGGACCTGCTGTTTATTGCAACAGGTATAGTCCTTTGTATTAAAACAACAACCAAAATATACATTTCGTGAAGTTCCCCCAGGGCTGAATACTCCTCTGATTCCCTGAAGAACAAGAAGAAAGGGCAGATGACATAGCTGGGCCCATTGGACCACAGGAAGATTGTTCAGAAGGAAGAACTCACTGCCAAGGAGGCAGAGCTGAAACCTTCTAGGACTCTGAGGGGGAGGTTGGTATGAGCAAAGATGAGCTCTATTCTAGTAAGACAAAGACTAGGAACTTAAAACTACTCTCTGCTCACTCACAGGAAGTAAGCTGGCAACAAAGCCTACACACACGAGTGAGGGGAGTAAGAGAAACAGAGGGAACAGTCTTGGAGTTTCTGGATCCAGCTGTGTCTGGGCTCTATCTAATCTGTCCTCTTCATCTTAGTTCTATGACTGAGTGAATTCTCTGATAGCTTAACAGAGTCTGAGTTGACCTCCAATCACTAGCACACAAAAGCATCAACCAGTCTTCTATACCCTGTACAGTTCAGCTGAGTTTTGTCGGCAAAAAAGGACCTTTCCCTTTTAATGAGGTACAGAGCGAGGGCACAGGAATTTCATTCTGACCGGTTGGTAAGTGCTTAGCTAGAACCCGTGGCCAGAAAGAAATGATGCTTACCATAATAAGGAGTTGTGGTATACCACCAATCTGTAGAGAAACAAAGAAAATAGGTTAGAAAGGGAAGAACGTGTGGTCACTGTAGGGCTTAAGAGACCTTCAGTCAGGCACTTAATGGACAGTGGGGCTTGAGGAAACTCAGACTGGTGGAGGAAGTGACCTCCCTGGACATCTTGGAATAAGGAACAAGTATGGCCCCAGAAGTCCAGGAATATAGCGAGGAGGTTGTTAAAACCACCAAAAGAAATTATAATTTTTAAAAGGGCATGCTCCTCTTTGATAAAAGGATTCCTCAGACTCTGTGATCACTTTGACTATGCAGAACAGTGTGTCTCTGTGCCTCTCTCACATTTAACTTTTGGCCCTGAAAAGACTTCCAAGCAAAGAAGCCCCAAAAGGAGGGTCTTTCTGTGACCAGAAGCTCTAGGAAAGCTCAGCTCAGCAACAGTATCGGAGGTCAGGGAGCTCTGTTCCCACCGAACCACTAAAGAGCAGTGACACGTGGGGAACTCTTGAGTCCAGCCAACACTAGGAAGGTAGAAGGGAGGCGAAGTGGCTTCATAGCCTCTGCCTGGAGGAACTCACAGGGGCTGAAGGAAGTAAAAAGGAGAAGAGATAGGTCTGAGGTTGGATGGCAAACTCACCTGGTACACTTGTGGATGCATTGGGGGAAGCTGTGAGAAAGACAGACAAGTCAGAGGTTTTGCACAGACAGTGTCACCACTGAAATAGAGATTTATCAAGCTAAGTTGGTTACACACATAGCCAATACTTCTTTGCATGGGGCATATGACATTTGCCATCCACTATCCCTTTGCTCCTTGGAGGCAAGGATTCTTAGGCTTCGTCTGACATACTTTGGACATGTTGTAAGGAGAGACCAGTCCTTGGAGAAGGACATCATGCTTGGGAGGGTGGAGGGACAGTGCGGGAGGGGAAGACCCTCTAGAAAATGGATTGATTTGGTGACTGGGGTAATCAGGATGAGTGTGTTGGAGACAATGAGATTGATTGGCACAGGACAGAGCAGAGTTTAGGGCTGTTGTACATAGGGTCGCTATGAGTTGCAAGCGACTCGACGACACATAACAACAACAACAACAATCCCTTTAGAAGGTGGCACCACATGAAGGCCAGGAAGATACTCTGCATTCTTGCCAACCTTCAGGTGGTTACGCTTGGGTCTGGAATGAAGGTAGCGGAGCGGAGCCACATCAGTGCTCCACCCTGCATATTTTAATAAGCCACTGATTCGGGCTCATCTAAGAGCAGTTACTGACACTGTCTGTCCTATCCCTTACGAGGAAGTGAATTTTTCACTCCATGGGCTTTGTTTACAGCTGCAAGTCAGGACTTGGTCTCCTGCTGCTGAGCACCATGGCTGTATCTATTTCTAATCAGTGCCTTATATGGGGACTTGAAACCCCACTCTAACACAATGCTACCAAGCCAAAGGTGGGTGATTTTAATCTGCAGCCCTCAGGCCTGGTTTTAGTTGTTTTTAGTCAAACATTCTTCTAATTGATATAGCACTCGTCTGTCCATTTGCTGTACAGAGGTAACTCGTGGTTGCTGTGTTGCTGAACACTGTGCCAGTGAGGTTACCCATGGTGGACAGTGGCATCTCCTGATTAAAACAAGCTTGGGATCAGGAGTGGCATCCACTTCCGAAGTAGCTTGCCTCTGGGAACCCTATGAACTTGGAGAAACGAAGAAAGATATACAAGGGTTCAGGTCTTTTGTTCACAGGGTCGCTATGAGTTGTCTACAACTTAACAGCACTTAACAACAACAACAACAGCCCTTCCTTTGACCCTCTTCAGGTCTGGAAAAATATTTCTGGATTCCTGGGAAGGAGACATTCTCTCCGTATTTTTGTCTTCTGACTCTTTAAGAAATAGCAGGGGGAATTTATTCTTGATTTTGCCATTTGCAAAATGTCTGAGTCAATTGAAAAGCTGGTTTCTTCTCTCAGTGTTGGTCATTGCTGTGATTGGCTGTGCCAACACCAAGATTTCAAGTAGTACTGCAATTCTTGGCAGAAAGTCAATGAAATTTAGGCAAAACAGGCTCTAGAAAAGCTTTTAACTAAGATGTTCACAATATAGGAATACATGGATGAAAGTCAATCTCTTTGTGAACTTTCATTAAAACAAAAAATTAATAAAAACTTTTAACTTTTAAAAATTATGTTCAACTATTATTTATTTATACTTAAATTGATATTTTTTAGAAAAAAATATTTTTTAATTCTTTCTTTTCTAATTGATTTTAATGAACGTTTATAGAGACTTTGGATTTCCATTCATTCATTGTTGCATTTTTCTCCCTACTCCCACCAGTTCACTCTTTAAATTGAAATTTTAATGAAAGTTTATAAAAGAGAATTTGGATTTCCATTCATTCTTTGTTGCACATCTTCCTCCCTTCCCTCCCAGTTGGCTTTCCTCTAAAAAAAATGTTTCATTGTTGTACAAGCCCCCTGCCCCCACAGTACACTTTACTATTCAGTTCTTATTCTGGACTGTTGTCATGCAAATAATACCTAATCATATATTCCTTTTAAGCAGTGCCATTCCTCATCTGTTTCAATGCAGTGTACATTATATATCCCCTCATTTCTTAGTTTCCCCCAAATGAAAACATTTTTAAAAGAAATAAGAATTTTGTCTACTTGAGAAATGTATAGATCACAATACATTGAAGGCTCACCTGAGCAGACGACGCTGGCGTCCTCAAAGTGTGCACAGTTGTGGGAGAGCCAGCCGTTGTGGGGACAGCTCCACAGGAAGGACTCGTGTCCTGCGCAGCGCACATCGTCCAAGAGGATCTGTCCTGAGCCCTGGCCGAACCTGGCATTTCCTGGAGCTGACACAGCCCAGCCACAGCCAAGCTGCCTGCAGACCACGTTGGCATCGTTGGTGTCCCAGCTGTCATCACACACGGTGCCCCAGGAGCCTTGGTACAGAACCTCCACTCGGCCTTGACACCGGTCACCTCCATTCACTAGTCTCAGACCAGAACCAGGTTCTAAAGCTAGGAAAAGGTACAAGAATTTCTTACTCATTTATAAACTTCAAGTGAAAGTTCTGAGCCATGCCTGGGCTCTGGGAAAGTAAGGTGGCCTAAGAGATACAGACTCAATCAGATTTGCTTAGAAATCTCATTAGTCTTTCTCTTCCTAAGGTACCTGAGAGCCCAATGGAGCAAGACTCACATAGATTTTATGGACCACTGAGGTGGCATTGAACATCTGAAAATACCCAAGGAGACAGACAATACTGTAATTCCACAAAGAACTAGGACCTGAGTCTTCAAGTTTCATCTAGCTACTTCATCAACTCACAGGACAAAGTGTGGACCTTCCTAGAGAAGGTCTAGTGACTTATTAGGAATGATTTCTCTGCCCCCATACATGTCACTGTCAGTACAAGGCCTCATGATTCAGATTCAAATCACGAATGTTCTACATGTGGGAGCTTCAAGGACAGTAGGTAGCGATATTGACTTGTTGTATGTGTGCTGGGCCAAGTATCTACAGCAGGGAAAGAAACAGAAAAATTCATTCACACGTAGTAGGAAGCGGTCATGGAACAGAGCCAGCTAAGTCAGGGACAACTCAGCCCTGAGGCCCACTTTGGGACTCTGGCCCTCATTGGTCATGTTTCCTCCACTGGTCAAGAAAGGTCTCTAACTCTCAGGAGCTTATTGGTGAAAGTCCTCCTAGGCCAGGAGCGAGACAGATTCCAACCAGGTTTAGAATTTTTGTTTGAATTGCTTATTGGTTTTCTTACCCTGCCTGCTTTTGGTCAGGGTTGTTCTCCTAGAACACCCAAATCTAGATGTGCCCGAGGTCTGGAAACGTCAACGTCCTAGTAAAGTGTGTCAGTTATGACAATTTAAATCTGAGTTCTCACAATATTCCAATCGAGTGGCTTTATTTCCCAATAGAGGCATCTTTTTTGTTCCTCCTGCCAGCACAAAACCAGAATCCTGGGTCCATAATTTCACTGTGGCCCTAATACCGTTATCCTCCATTCACCAGCCTCAGGGCCAAACTCAATCGTACCAGAAAAGAGATCATGAATGTTCTTGATCAGAGAGATCCTGAGGTCAAAACAAGTCCCAGGATTTTCCCAGTGATCAAATACAGTGACTCTCAGGTTAATGTTTTCACCAGTGTGGGTATAGACTGAAACCTGGCCAACACCATGCTGTTTTGAAGAGATATAAATAAAGCTCTTGGATTTGAGTTGAGTTAGGCATATGTGTGTGCTTAATCCCTACATATGTAGGAAATCAATCTGGGAGCCAAGCTTGCAGGATAGAGGGTATCTATCAACCTGGGCCCCAGGGGCCACTGAGTTGAACCTGAGCCCCGACAACAGGGCTCCTCCAGGGACAGAGCCCTAGGCCCACACAGTGCGGGCCTGGCACTTGGTGCTTAGATGTCCCATACCAGCTGGCTCACCTTGCTCACGGACCCATCCTACTGAGCCGGGCTGGCTCTGTAGGCTCCTAATCCCCTGGGCAATCTCTCACATCACTTTAGGGAGACTCAAAATTCTCCTAAAACTCAAGTAAAACATGATCCCAGTGAACACCAGGGGCTACAGCAGTAGAGGACAAGAGTAATCACCAGCTGCAGTGTATCTGTGCATTCTAAACATTGACCATGACCTAGAGGATCAGAGACAAATGGTGGTTTTAGGCACCCACAAAGAGAGCTGCACACCAGCTCTGGACCTCACCCTGGACCACACCGCATCCACCAGTCTCCATGGGATCGTGCCCCTTGTTAACCTGTGAGCTGCTGCAAGTCATAGAGCAAAAAGGTTTGCTCTCTGGACTTCATGAACTCAGGGCCATGGGGTGGTCATCATACCTACTTCATTTAACAATCTAATTTGTGCCTTTCCCCTACCATGCAGAAAGCAAGTGCTGATAAAAAAGCCTACACGCATTAGAAAGAGAGGAGACAAACGTAAGGACAGGGAGCTGTGGGTCTTTTGACTAACTGTATTGAAACCCACACCCACACTGCATGCTAGTTTTAGAATTCAATGAATTCTCTTATAGCTTAGGAGTGTTTGAGCTGGCTTCCAAATACTAGTGAACGAAAGTGTCATAACTGGTTCTCTGTACAGTACAATTGAGGTCTGGTGGGTAAAAGGGACTCCCCATGTTGGGAGTGGTCTGGGGAGAGGACTTAACCCAAAACATGGGAAATTGACTCGGGCTGTCGATGAGAATGTTGATTTACAACAATGGGACAAAATGAAATGATACTTACTATGGTCAGGAGTCGTGGTGTACCACCAACCTACAGAGGGAAAAATGGGTTAAAAAAGAATTGTCATGACAGGAGTCCAGAATGAAGGCTGCACAGTGCAGCGGGCTTGGGGATAGGAATTGCATAACAATGAAAGAGTTTTTCTTTTATTTTTCAAGGAGATGAGTGAATGGGGGGAGGGTGGGCAGGGAGAAAAGTGCAACAGTGAATGACTGGAAACCCTAAGTTTCTGTAAACTTTCATTAAAATTAATAAAAGCAAGAAAGAAGAAAAAAAGAATGACACTGGGCCACCACAGGGTCTACAAACCTTCAGTCGTGCATGACTTAAGACAGATCTAGAGAAAAACCACTGACAGGAAGAAAAAACAATGCCTGGCAGCTGTCCATAAGAAGCAATCATGGTCCTGGAAGTCTAGGGCTATAGCAATGAGGGGCTGAATCTATCAAAAGAAATGACAGTTCTTTGTTGATAAATTGTTCAATGGTGAAAGAATAATTTAGACTCTGTGTGGCACTTGGAATTATACACACACGTATAGATATATACACATGTACACACATGCATAGCTTTGGTGGCCTAGCGGAAAGAAATTGCACTGCAAAACCAAAAGCAAGAGCTTCAAATCCACCAGATGCTGTGAGAGAAAGATGGACAATCACTTCTCGTGCAATTTACTGTCTCTACAAACCTACTAGAGGATCCACTGTGCGCCAGTTTCAACTTGACAATACACGACAACAGTGGTGGCCTAGTGCTAAGAAGCTGCACTGCAAACCTGAAAGGCACATGGTTTGAATCCATCAGCTGCTTCACAGAAGGACGGGCAATCTGCACCTGTGCCATTAATTGTCTCTAAAAACCCACTCAAGGCTTAGCTATGGGTCGGTTCTGACTCAACCGCACACGACAACATTGTATATATAAAGCAGGAGTGGCATCCACTTCCGAAATGGCTTGCCTCTGGAAACTCTATGAACAGTGCTCAGGTCTTTTGTTCACAGGGTCATTATGAGTCATCTACAACTCGATGGCACCTAACAATAATAACAACGACGACATAGAGAGAGCTATCTTGGCCTAGTAGACAGAAAGTTATGCTACCAAGCCCAAGGTGGGTGATTTTAATCTGCTGCTCACAGGCCTGGTTCAAATTGTTTTTCTGTCAAACATTCTTCTAGGTGGTATAGCACTGGTCTGTGCATTGCTGTACAGAGGTAACTCATGGTTGTTGTGATGCTAAACACTGTAACACTGATGTGCCAAATGTGATAATGGTTACCCACGATGGACAGTGTTTGGTGGAGGTCTGTGATTAAACCAAGCCTGGAAGTAGGAGCGGCATCCACTTCTGAAATGGCTTGCCTCCAGAAACTCTATGAACAGTGCTCTGGCCTTTCATTCATAGGGTCACTATGAGTCATCCATCTACGACTTGACGCACTTAACAACAACAACAAAATATGTGTGTGTGTATGTGTATGTGTATGTGTATATGTATATGTGAGATTTATATATACATGAGAGATATATGTTGTTGTGAGATTATATATATGAGATATATATACGTGAGAGATATAAGATTATATATATGTGAGATTATATATGTATGTGTATGTATATATATAAATATACACACACACACACGATATTTATACAGATAGATAAATAGATATATTCCTCTAACATTTAACTTTGGTGCCATGAAAGGCTTCCAAGCATAAAAGGTGTAAGAACAGCCTATCTTTCTACTTCTGAAAGTTCAAGGTCAGCTTAACTTAATAACTGGAGTTGGGGTTGAGTCAGCTTTATTCCCACAAACCAGAAAAGAGGACTGATATGTTGGGAGCTCATCAGGACACCTTTCATAGAGTCAAGCCATTAAGGGAGGCAATAAAAATACACAGTAGTTCCACTTTCCCCTCCTGCAGGTACTAGTTGGGGGCTGTCGAACAGAGCAAGGAGAAAGAGACACGCCAGAGCTGGCATCAGAGCTCACCTGGTTTGGCTGTGCTTGCACCGGGGGAAGCTGTGAGAAAGAAAGACAAATTAGATGCTTTGCACAGAAGGTGTCACTGTGGAAGAGGAGACTGAAGCAGCTGCTTTCCTCACACACTCAGCCACAGCTTCCTCCCTGCATGGGGCACGTGGTGCTGGTCATCCACTCGCCCTTGAGAAGCTGGCACCATATAAAGCACAGGAAGTTATTAAACATTTCCCCCCATATTTTCAAGGTTTATCTTTGTCTAAATGACAGTGGTTAAATCAATGCCCTCTACAAGCAATGCTACACTCTGCTTTGTTTCTCAATCCACTGTTTGCAGACCCATCTCTGGGCAATTTTCAGACTTTGCTGGCCTGGCTCCTAAGGGAATCTGTATTTTGCACCCCACCAGGTAGGTGTGCTTCAGTGAGTGGCAGTCAAAGACCCAGCCCCATTCACCTCTCTGCCCAGCGTGCTCATAGGTGGGTCTGTATTCCAGACAGGTGCCTTTTATTGGGTGTGGGACTCTACTCTGTCACAATATTAAAAATCTTAGCACTCTATGCGCCTCTGCTTCTCCTGCTCCAGGTTAATAGGAAGTTTTCTGTGTTATGATTGGCCACCTGCATCTATGAGATCTCAAGAAACATGACAATTCTTGGCAGAAGGCTCATGATATTTAAGAGAAACAGGGTATAGTAAAGGTTTTGACTGATAAGACCAAGACACCAGAATATTCTCTTCTGGAGCAATCTCAGCCTCTGACGCCCACCTGAGCAGATGACCCCGGCGTCCTCCGTGTGTCTGCAGTTGTGGGAGAGCCAGCCGCCGTGACGGCAGTCCCACAGGTAGGGCTCGTGTCCTGTGCAGTTCACATCGTCCAGGAGGATCTGTCCTGAGCCCTGACCGAACCTGGCACTTCCCGGAGCTGACACAGCCCAGCCACAGCCAAGCTGCCTGCAGACCACGTTGGCATCATTGTTGTCCCAGAAGTCATCACACACGGTGCCCCAGGAGCCTCGGTACAGGACTTCCACTCGGCCCTGGCACCGGTCACCTCCATTCACCAGTCTCAGGTCTGAACCGCCTTCTGTCCCTAGGAAAGAGAACAAGAATTTTTCATCTACGTGCAAACATCAAGTGACATTTCTACACTCGTATCTGGGCTTTGCAGTACAGTGACCAATGAGACACAGTCACGTCAGGTTTGCTTGGAAATCATGTGACATCTCACTTCTCGAATGACCATCAGTCACCTGAGAGCACAGAGAGCAAACGTTTGATCTGAGCAGGGGCTGAGCCTGCACTGAACGCACAGAGCAGACCCACCAAGGCAGGTCACCAGCGTGAGTTCCAACACGGAAATAAGGAGCTCCAGGGTTGCCGTCTTCCAACTAGTTCATCTACGCACAGGACAGCGCCCTACTCTGGATCGAGTTCACGTGTGTTACTGACATCCTAAATTCTCACAATTCACATAAAATGCATGGCCACTCTGCATGTTGGCGGCTGCCAGGGTAGAAAATGGGGATATTTACCTATTGGAATTGCAGGTGTGGTTGCGTTGGGCCACGGAACTGTAGGAGAGAAACAGAGAAAAGTAAATTTCAATACTTTTCATATGATTTCTGACTAGTTAGATTGGGAGACCAGACCCTTGTCAACAAAGTCAGCAAAGGGAAAAAAGCCCTAACATTAGCACTTATAGATAATAATCGTGGGACCCTGAGATTTAAGGGACTGAATACATGTACTGACGGTACAAACTGAAAGAAAAACCTGGTTAAGTAGACAACACATATAACTGTGTGGACGCTCACATCTAATCCTCTCCACAGGTGGGTTTAGGGGTCCCGCAGGGACTCGGAAGTGCAACAGTGATCACTAGCAGTTGATTGAGGAAAAGCAATGTGTGGCTCCCCTTTTTATCTCCTCCCCATACACCCCAGGGATCCGTGGAGTGACTCTATACTTACCTAACCCTGTTCTGGCTATGCCTGAAGACAGGCTCATACTAGATTTAAAACTTCCCAAGTATCAGGAAAAATGAGAAGCAAGCATTTAAAAAGCTGAGTGAACCATATCTGGTCTTTGGAGAAGGGCAGTGCTTCAAAGACTCTGACTCAGTCAGTTTTATTCGGAAAACACATTAAACGTCTCTTCTCAAAAGGGCAAGAATCGCACAGATTTGAGCAGCCAGTGCGCCTCCATTGAATGCTCAGAGGAGAACTGCCAGGAGAGGGCACAGGCCTGGACTGTCACACACCTCGGACCCGATCGTCCACTCATGTCTTCTTCCAGCTAATTAAGTGACAGACAGAGCAAAGTGAGGAACTTCCAACAGGAGACCCAGTGCTTTATCCGGAATGGACTTCCCAATCGAAGCTCATGCAGGTCAATGTCAAAGCAATCCCTCGTGATTGATTCACGCTGAATGATTCAGATTGAAATAATGAATACTCTTCATGTCGGTATGTCAGTATGTGTATGTCCATGCATGTATGTCCACTCAGGAGAGTAGGTAGGGAGATTTACCTCCTTCAGTTGTCGGTAGGGATGTAACGTGTCGTGTGACAATAGGTGGAAATGGAGGAGAAAAAGTAAACTTAATGCTGGTACTTGAACCAAGAGACTCGGGTTTAGAATTACACCATCGGGAAGAAATTGATAGTTTTCCTGTGAACATTTTCACAGGGCTCAAGGGACCACTTAGGTGTACAAGAAGTCCTTTTCATGAAACTACAATTAACCGCTTACAATTGCCTTTCAGAATTGGACTTTTAAAGCATCAGGCGTCTTCAGGCCCTGCCTCTTCCCTGGACCAGGAGGAAGGCATGTGAGTCAGGCTGTACAGGTGCCATGACTGGTCCTGCAGTGCATCAACCAGACCCACTGCGGTCTATTAGGGGACATTAGGGAAGTGGTTTCATGAGCAGCAGCCCTTTTCCTCCAGGGGGGCCAAGTGATGAGGGCACAACTTTGTCTCTCTGCTTTACAGGGAGCTCTGGTGGTACAGGGGGAAGAAGCTGTACAGGAATCCCAAAGGCCGGTGGTTCAAGGACACCATCTGCTCCACAGGAGAAAGATGGACAATCTCCTGCTGTGCAATTAATTGCATCTGAAAACCCACAGGTGGTTCCCCTATGTGTTGGTTCCAACTCTAAGGCACACCACAATTCAGCTCAATGACTGACAGACACGGGGCCCATGGAATCATGTGTACATTGTGCAGGGATCCAGGCTCCCTGGAAAACCCAGACTGTGGAGGGAGAGGTGTTGTTCACATTCCTTGAATAACTCCCTCAGCAATGAATTCATAGTTTCTTAATGCAAATTGTTCAGAAAGTGCATGTGAAATAAAGACAAAAACCCCCTGCGAATCCTGACTTCCTGGACCGAGTGGAACGTGACTGTGATAGAGCGAACCGAACTGAGACATGGAAATGCCACAGCGACTGGTTCTGCAAAGGTGTTTGTGCTCAGCCAGAAGCTTAGAATCTACTTTTGGGTGAGAGAGTGTGAGAGCGAGGGAGGGAGGGAGGGAGTGATAAAGTGAATGTGTGTTTGTGTGTGTGTGTGTGTGTGTGTGTGTGTGTGTAAGAGAGAGTAATCACTGTAAATACTCAAACCCCTGATGACACATTGGTTGTCACGTGGTCATTACCTGCCATCTGGACGATTCCGACTCACGATGACCACACACACAAGAGGACTGAGCCCTGCCGGACCCTGTTCTTCGACCTCACCGTCTCTGCTGTGCTCAAACCCCCTGTCACAGCCACTGTGTCAGCCCATCCCTTGAGGGGCTTTTTCTCGTTTACTGAGCCTCTACTTTTACAAAATACACATCCTTTTCCAAGATCCAGCCCCTCCTGACCACATCTCCAACGTACATGAGACAAAATCTCACCCTCTTCACCTCTGAGGAGAACCCTATACTGCTTCCAGGACACATGTGACTCCTTCATTACCCCCATTTGACATTCTAAATATCCTTCCCCACTGCCACAAACCGAAGGCTTCATCCCTCCTTCTATAATATTTCTTCTTCGTCGTTCAACTTCCACATGCATACAGCGTAACTGACATACACAGAGCACCTTCACCTCCCTGTGTCTGAAGTCAGAGGACCTAGACTAACGAGTGACACCTGTCAGCTCGTCTCCTGAAGTCTACGTTAATTTGAATGTTCAGGCAAGCTCTCTAGGTAAGAGCACAGGAAAAACCAATTCTACCCTGGTAGGGCGAACTGTGGGGACTTCCAATTGCTGCCTCTCCACCAACAAGAGGAAAGCAAGGGTAGAAAACAGAACCCACACATTAAGGGAAGATATTAGAGACAAAAGAAGGAGCCCTCATAGATGTTCTGATCCCAGGTGTGCCAAAACTCAAATGAGCACTTCTCCATTCTACTTATTTGATACTATGAAATCACGTACACCTGCAGACTGAGTTGGCTTCCACTCATTAGCCAACAGAAGCATCATAACAGATCTTCCTATCTCCCTTCAGAACAGCTGAGAACTAGTCAGGAAAAGGGGCTGCACTGCACATTTGGTGAGGAGCTGCAACAGAAAACTTAACACGGGACAGAGACATTTCATCCAGGCCTTAAGTATTAAAACTAGGACCAATGTCTACAAACCAATGATGCTTACCACGGCTAGGAGTTGTGGTGTGCCATTCACCTGGAGAGAGAAAAAGAGAAAGAAAGGTCAAAAAGGAGTAAACATGTGCACACACCTGGGATCAGATACCTTCAGTTGGGCATGATGGACAGTGACGTTTGAGAAACCCCCTGAGTAAGAGAAAGAGTGGACTCTTTAAAACACTTTTCATTAAGCAATAATAACGGCCTTTAATGTCTGGGGTATAGTAATGAAGTGGGTGAATCCATGAAGGAAAAGTATTATTCTTTGCTGGCAGATTATTCTTTGGTGAGAGAATAATTTTGATTCCAAGTACACAGAACAATAGATCTGTGTCCCTCTGATTTAACTGTTGACCTAAGAAAGACTTTCAAGCATCAAAGACCGAAGTATAGACCTTTTCTTCTGCCAAAGCTCGAGATGAGCTCATTGTAGCATCAGCGTGGAGGCCAGAAGACTCAGCCTCAAAAGAGAAAATGTAATGTGTTAGGAGCTCATCAGTTAAACCTATGCAGAACACAATCATCGACAGAGGTAGGGGATACAAAACACCTTCATATTCTGCAGCTTTGGGGGGTTGTTGTGAGTTGTGGGACATAGCAAGGTGAAATGAGACATCCATGAGTTAGGCTCGTAAACTCACCTGGAAGGGCCGTGGACGTGTTTAAAGCATCTGTGGGGGAAACGACAAACCATTGACATACAAGATGTTATTATGGGAACAGAGACTGAAGAAAACAATCTGGTCACACACTCAACCAATTATTCTTCCCCACAAAGAAGGCAGGGCTTTGCCACGTACCATCCTTTGAGAAAGTTGTAACACATGAGGTCAAGGAGGTACCCTTCACCCTTTCCAACCTTGGGTCTGGATAATGGTGGCTAAGCTGACCCATAACCAAGGTTCCCACATGGAACAATCTATTGATTTCAAGCTCATCCATGGGCAATGACTAGACTTTTCTAGGCATATTTTATGAGGATAATTGTTTTGCATCCCACCTGGCTAGGTGCACTGCAGGGCGGGCATTCGAAGACCCAGTCACTCACTCTTCTTTGCCAGTCACGCTCACATCTATGTCTGCGTGTCTCCACACTGTAACACAATACTCCGTATACCCATCCTCACAGTCCTTCCTCGGGTCATGTTGCTGGAGTACTGAACACCCCACCGACTGCCAAATAGTATACAGCCCTGTCTTGGAAACAATGCAGCCTTGGAGGAAATGATGGTGACAATTTGCCTCTTGTACTTGGTTCATGTTGCTAAGAGAGGCTGTTCCCTTGAAAGGAGATGTCATGCTTGGAAAGGTGGCAATTGAGCAAAAGAAAGGAAGACCTTGAATGAGATTGATTTAATGCAGACATAATGACTCCAGCAATGAACTCAGGTGTGTCAGAGGTGATGATGGCATAAGGTAGGACAGGGTTCAAGTCTGTTGTCTATAGAGTCGCCAAGTCAGACTCGACACCTAACAACAATAGCAACAGCTTTTCCTTTTCTCCTTCTTCACATTATGAAAAGGTTTTTGTTGGGAATCCTGTGCTAGAAGAAATTTTCCCCATTAGTTGTTGTTATGTGTCAGTGAACTGAGGGAGACTCACCGTGACCATATGAACTACAGCTCTGCACTGTTTTCTCTTTTGCACCATCCTTATCCTGAACACATCTGTGTCCACCGTCACAGACATCCTATCAATCCATCTTGGTGAAGCTCTTCCACTCCTTTGCTGACCTTCCACCTTTCCAAACATGACACTCTTTTCCAAAGAATAGCCTCTTTCATCATGAGAACATGTCTGAAATATGTGAGATGAAGCTTCACCATCTTTGCCTCCAAAGAACATTCTGGTTGGCCTTTCTCCACGACATATCTGTTTGTTCTTTTGGCTGCCCGGGCAATATTCAGCACTCTTCTCTCTTTCGGAGAGGCATATAATCTCCCCTTTCTAGGAACGCTGGGGAGCAGATACTGTCCTCTTGCCACTTGCCCATATGTCATGTATATTGGAAGGCTTGACTGTCCTTTTCAGTTTAGTTCATTTCTATGATTGGTCAACCCAACTCCAGAAAACTCAAGAAACATTATAATTCTTGGCTGAAAGCTAAAAAAATTCAAGAGAAACCATATAGAAAAGGTTTTGTTTGACCAATAGGGTCAAGATACAAGAATATTCTCTGCTTGAGAAAACACAGATCTCAATGTCTTTGAAACCCACCTGAGCAGATGACTCCGGCATCCTCACTGTGCCCGCAGTTGTGGGAGAGCCAGCCGTTGTGGGGGCAGCTCCACAGGTAGGGCTCGTGTCCTGAGCAGCGCACATCGTCCAGGAGGATCTGTCCTGAGCCCTGACCGAACCTGGCATTTCCCGGAGCTGACACAGCCCAGCCACAGCCCAGCTGCCTGCAGACCACGTTGGCATCATTGGTGTCCCAGCTGTCATCACACACGGTGCCCCAGGAGCCTCGGTACAGGACCTCCACTCGGCCCTGACACCGGCCACCTCCATTCACCAGTCGAAGGCCTGACCCTGGTCCTGTCACTAGGAAAGGGCACGAGAATTTCTCAGCCATGCATAAAACATCAAGCTAAGTTTCTGAACCAGGTCTGGGCTCTGGAGAAGACCAATGACCCAAAATACACCCAATACACTATACTTTCTCTTTTCAAAGTATCATCTATCACATGAGGTGCCAACAGGGCTAGATTCACACGGATTTGGGGAGCCACCAGTCCTGTATTGAGCACCCAGAGACTAACTGCAAAGACAGGACAACATTACAGGTTCCTCGAGAACTAGGACCTGCATCTTCCGACACGTCATGGTCTAACTAACTCATCTACTCACAGGACAAAGTGTGGACTCCCACAGAAGACCGAGTGCCCAACTCTGACTGCTTCTCTCCCTCCAAGCTCATACGTGCCCTGCCAGCCCAACTTCTCACAATTCATATTAAAACCATCAAAAATCCCTATTGAAACCTACTCTGCACGTTGGGAGCAGCGAGGGCAGTAGGTAGGAATATTTACCTCCTGGTTGTATAGGTGGCGATGTGGTCCATGGGTCTGCAGGAGAGAAACAGAGGGGGACCGTCAATTTGAGACTTCCAGTATGATCACTGGTTAATTGCACTGGGAGATTAGATGCCCTTCAACAAAGACACCCACAATCAAAAGTAGCAGATAAAAAGGATGATGACCCTGGAGTCCTGAGACTCATCAGAAAAGAGGAAATTTAAACACTGGCTAAGGAATGCAAACACCATCAAGGAGCCAACGAAGCCGGTGACTGTGAGGGTTGTGGCGGTGAACTGTGCCTTCTGGTACTTGGAGGATGAGGGCACTGGTCTGTACCAGCCCTAAGATTGATGGGACACCCTGGGGCTGGAGTCCCTGCATTTAACCAGACACCTCCGTGATGAGGCCGACCACATCCATGCATGGAGCGGAGCACTCTCCGAACTCTACGATCTCATCGAGCATCCTGGAGCTGGCGGTGGCTACCCCACAAGGGAACCTTGGAGCTTCGGTAGCAGAACCATATTGTCCTGTGTACACGTCCGCTTCTCCTGCTGGACCTGGGGTGGGGCCCAGTCTTCACTGTGGCCTGGCACCTGTGTGGACCATGGTACAGTTGTGCCCTCCCCATGCATCCTACCTCTATAGCCAGCAGCGTGAGCCAGCTCTGCCGGGAGTCCTGCCTGTGCTCAGCCCTGAGTTACACGGACGGATGACTGACTCCTGGGCAGAGACTCTACCTGAGGCTAGGGCCCCACCCTTTTGAAGCCCCTGTGTCAGAGAAACTCTACCATGGTATGTCGCTGCATCTTGGATTCTTTCCAATACCCTTAACACCTCTTAACCAAGGAGGATCTCTCCCCTCACTGTGTACTTCACCTTTGACCTTATGCCTGACCAGAGACACCATCCTGACGAGACAGACAGCCTCCATCCCACAACAGCTGCAGCGACAGCAGGCAGCTCCCTTTCCTCCTCGTCACGTGCCCTTTCCCCATTTTGCCTTCCTATACTTCTCATCTTCCTCTCAGTTTCAGCTTTTTCTTTTTCCTGCCTGTCTTTGAATTTGTATTCCTTTTGTTGTTGTTGTTTTTCATCTCTTCCTCTACCTCTCTCTTTTTTCACTCGCCTATTCTTTTTTCTTAGTGCCACCAGGCAACAGACAGCAAGATTATCCATGCGTCGGCGCACACACACACACACACCCCTCCCACAACTCCACTCACTGCTCAAGTGTAACACGCACACACACACACCCCCTCCCACAACTCCACTCACCGCTCAAGTGTAACACGCGCACACACACACACCCTCCCACAACTCTACTCACTGCTCAAGTGTAACATGCACACACACACCCCTCCCACAATTGCACTCACTGCTCAAGTGTAACACGCACACACACACACACACCTCCCACAACTCCACGCACTGCTCAAGTGTAAAAGGACTAACCTGATACCGCTGATGGACAACAGATGGTGACCTTCGCCAGTCCACTCTACACACCACGGTTTACATGGACAACACACAGAAAGCTACACACAAACTCTCATCTTCTCTCACAATCACCATGAGTCAGCAGGAAAAGACTACAAACACAGTGCCACCGCTGACCTAGTTAGACAGCTTAGACAGCCCCAGAGGGAATAGAGAACTTAATCCCACCATGGAGCAAAAAAAAAAAAAACTCCCCCCAAAGCAGGATATGATGTCACCAAAAAGTGATCAAAGTACAGAACCAGTAAATCTCTCAGAGGTTGGAAAGCTGCTGGAACTTCCTGATTAGAAATTCAGAAGAATGATAGGTTCTCCCGAGAACAGAGAGAAATGAAAGAGAAAAAAATTAAGGAAAATATAGAAAAACTCTAAGAATGTTAAAAGTCAACATAAGTCCAAGTACACAAAAATAAGGAAAAATTAGAGGCTAGAAAAGAACCCTCAGGAATTAAAATCCAGAGTATTAAAACTGAAGTTTTAGAAACTGGTAATACATTGGAAACACAAAAGAGTAGACTTGTAGAAACAAAAAAACAGAATCAATGAGATAGCAGACAAAAGTCTCACTACTAATCTGTAAGAGGAAAAAATCAGAAATTAGAAGGGAAAAAAAGCATAAAATTATGGGAGACAATGTATGTGAAGGATTGTACAGAAGTGAATGAGGATACAGATAAAAAATTATAAATTGCTAAAAAACACAAACAGAAAACCCTTATAAAAATTATGTGAAATATTATCAACATCAACAATGTAGTTGATTGTAATATAAATTCTAGCACAGAAAGAGATCAAAAACATAGAGAAAATCATTAACGCTTTACTGGAATAATACTTCTCAAATATTATGAAAAAGGAGAAAACAGGCACTCAAAAGGCTGAGCAAACTCCATGTCTGGGACCCAGAGAAGCAGAGACCCTGGAGACATTGGCCCAGTCAGGTTCATGTGGGCAGCATTACATCTTCTCTTCCCAAAGGCCCATCAACCACCGGAGGGGCCAAATAGGCAGGAATCGCATAAATCTGAGGGGCCGTGGAGTCTGCATTGAACACTGAGGATGTCTATCAAGTATGAACACCAGTGTGGGTGCCACAAAGACCTGTCACCTGGGTCTTCAGATACCATGTCATCTTCCACGAATTCACAGGACCGAGTAGGACTTTCCACAGAAGGTTCAGTGCCTCACTATGAATAATCGTCTCTCCCTGAGCCCACTGTCTGAACAATTCCTCACAATTCAGATTAAAGGTATGGACTCTGCATTTCAAGAGCTTTAAGCAGAAAAGAATAGTCACTTTCTCTGGTTGCAGGTGAGGGTGTGGTGCGTGCGTCATGTGTCTGCAGGAGGGAGACAGGAAGAAGGTACACTTATACACTGTTGGAAGAGGTTCATATATCAAAACCAACCGGGCCTTCACAACTCAGGTCGCTGGACCTTACTTAGGGAGACTGCTTGGTCCTCACCATCGGCGTCGCCTGCACAAATCAGGAGAGATCTCTCCTCGTTTGTCGATGAGCAGTTGGGCTGCCCCCTTGTCTGTGACTAACGCAGCAGTAAACATGGGAGTGCGTCTATCTGTTTGTGTCGTGCCTCTGGTTTCTTCAGAGTATTTCCCAGTAGTGGGATAGCCGGGACAAACGGTATTTCTACTCCCAAATATCTGAGAAAGTGCCGGATCGCTTCCATAGTGGTTGTACCATTTTCCATTCCCACTAGCAGTGGCTAAGGGTTCCAGTCTCTCTACAGTTTCGCCAGCATTTGTTGTTTGCTACACTGTTGAACCTCTCGTGCTTAGAAAGGGGGGCGGTCAGCGAAAGAGTGGAAGACCCTCAACAAGGCGGACAGACACAGTGGTTATAACAATGGGCTCAAGTGTCTCACAGATGAGGAGGATGACACAGGACAGATCCGTTGTTAATGGGTCGGCTCTGAGCCGTAGATGACTCCACAGCACCTAACAATAACAGCGTTTGTATGTACACAGACATACTAAATCGTGAAGCTCGGTCCTCACAATGTTGCCATCTTGTCCAATCCCTCTAGACACCCCTTCTAAGCCTCTCAGGAAAGCTAGATTGGAGGTCCTCTGTGGAAACCCCCTCCCCTCTCCAGCTCTCTGTCAGCATGAATGGTTTTTGTTTGTTTTGCTCAGTGAGTTTAAAAAAAATAAAAATCCAAAACAGCTTTTAAATTATTCTCAGGGAGCTCTGGGGGCCCAGTGACAAGAAGCTGCATTGCAATCCCAGAGGTGCACGGTTTAAATCCACCAGATGCTCTGCTGGAGAAGGAGGGACAATCTCCTCCTGTACCAGTCAGATCTGATTTGATGGTTCACACACAAAAATAATAAAATAGAATTTAAAAATATTATAAAAACATAAATTATTTTCTGATGCAGAAGATCATAGTTTGCCCATAGAAATCTTTCAAAAAACCCATGTGGGCCTGGAGGTTCACAGGAAGTATCTCTCACATAACAAATGTGGAGAAATTTCTCGTTTCTCTTTTGGAAATGGTCAGATGAGGCATCACTTCCAGTTCCTACCACCTTCCTGGACCAAGAGGGGAAGCATGTGATGATGGGAGAGCCAGTCGGGCTGACTCATTAAGATGCCACAACATCCGGTTCTGTGCAGGTGTTTGTGCTCAACCAAATTGCCAGGTCTTTGTGTTTTTCCATCATCCATGGTTTCAAGAATCGCCACCAATCGCTGCTGTTACGTGCCTTCTGGTTGGAACTGACTCACAGCTCATCCTCCAGTGGGTTTTCAGAGGTTATAAATCACATGGGAGGAGACTGCCTGTCTTCCTCTCACACAGCGGCTGGTGGATCAGAACCATGTGCCTTTGGGTTGGCAGCACAACTCCTTACCAATAGGCCTGTTTCTTTTAGGCTAAACCGATAAGTGACAAACTTAAGGCTGATAAATTCCATTTTTCAACCTTGGGAGGTTAGGAGAAGCAGGTGACCAAGACCGAATCCTAAGAAAAGCAACTGAGCAAAAAGTAAAAGTAGTGGAAACCTTGCTGACATATTTACTGCTGCGTTGTTGCTAAGTGCCACCAAGCTGCTTCTATTTCAAGCCAATGAATTCAGCCCAATAGAATTACAGCATGAGAGATCCTGTGCCTTCCTCGCCTTTTCTGCTGCATTTAAACCCATTGTTGCTGCCACGGTGTCAATTCTTTTGTGGGGGGGTCTTCTCTTTTGTAAACCTTTCCATTTTCTAAGCACGGTGTCCTTCTCCAGGCCCTGACTTATCACATGTCCGAAGTATGTGAGATGAAACCTCACCAGCCTCCCCTGTAAGGAGCACTCTGGCTGCATTTCATGCTCAGGAAGAGGACACAATGCAGGCAGGGGCCGGGGAAGAAAGGAAAAGCAAGTGTGCAGCAAAGAGATGAGAGGAAAGGAGGATTTCAGCTCCCAGTGCGCCCTGTGTCTCTCCTGTCCCTCCTCGGTCTTCGCTGTGACACACACATTCCCTTGCACTAAACGTGGAGCTGAGCTGGAGAGACTGAACACAAAACACGAGAATTTCACCCAGGCCTGCAGACAAAGAGTGTTGAACTAGAACTAATGATTACAAACAACTGATGCTTACCAGGAGTAGGGGTCGAGGTGTGCCACCATTCTGGAGAGAAGAACAAAAAAAGAAAGAAATGCCATTAGAAAGACATGGATGTGTGGTCGCTGGATGGACATAATGGACAGTGGCATGTGAGAAAGACCACGAGTGGAAGAGGAAGTGGCCTCTCCTGGACACCTAGTATTAAGCAACAGCCATGACCCGAAAATGTCAGGACTACAGCAACGAGATGAGGTCTACATCCACAAAGACAAACGTCAATTGTTTGCTGGTGGACTGTTCTTGGGTGAAGGTCATGTAGCCTTTGCGTGGGGCACACAGAGTAGCATGTCTCTGCGCTCTTCTCACATTTAAATTTTGATACAATAAATGCTTCCAGGATCCTTCCAAAATCTTTAGATAAGCTCATATTAGCAACACATGTCTGGGCCCAGGAACCTCTAACCACATACAAGAAAAAGGGAGTGCTGGGTTGAAAACGCTTCACTATGTCCCCAAGGACACAGTGCAGCAATGTCCCCAAGGGAAATGGGAGAAATGCCCAACAGTCCAGCGTTCCCCTCCCAGAGCTACACATTGGGGGCTGTTATAGTAGCAAAGAGGAAAGAGGCCCCTGAGTTAGGATGGCAAATTCACCTGGTATGACTGTGGTTGAGTGTAGAGAAGCTGTGGAAAAAAAGGAAAAGACAAATTAGACGTTTTGCAAGTAAAGTGTCACCACAGAAGCAGAGCGGAGAGGTTGAGCAGGGCAGGGCAGCTAGTGCTTCTTCCCCACGTGGCATATGTGGCCCTCGTCACCCAATGACCCTTGAGCCGTAAGGTGGCACCATGTAAAAGCCACCGCTCTGCACTCTTTCCAACATTTGAGTGAGTATCCTCGTGTCTGGATGATGATAGCTAAGCTGACCCACAGCAAATGCTCCTTTGTGCATGTTTTAGCAATGCATTGATTCCAAGTTCATTCACGGGCAGTTACCAGACTTTGGAATATCTCCCCAGGGAGCTGCGTGTTACACACCACCCAGCTTGGCGCATGGAGGGAGGCTGCAGTCGGAACTCGGGACCCCTCTCCTCTCCATCCATTCCCATATGCATAGTTGTCTTTTTTAATGGGGGTTCCGTATGGGCCAGGACTCTGATGTCACAACCCTCAATCACTGAGCCCACCTATCCCTTCCTTCTCTTCTCCCAAGGCCCACGGAAAGGCTTTGGCTGGCACTCCTGGGTGAGGCTGGCACTTCTCTAGCAGTGTCGCAGACCATTACACTCTTTAGGAAACACCAGGGAGCCTGTCACTTTCTTTTACCACTTGGCCTGTAAGTGAAAAGGCTTATAAGCTCCCTTCAGTTCAGTTCAGTTCATTACAATGACTGGCCACTTGAACATCTGAGCTCTCCAGACACATTACAAGTCTTAGCAGGAAAGCAAGGACATTTTAGGGAAGTGGGATGAGTTTTGACTAAGAGGAAGAAGATATAAGAGTGCCCTTTTCTTGAGCAAACTCAGAACCCAATGTCTTAGAAACCCACCTGAGCAAACGACGCCGGCGTCCTCACTGTGCCCACAGTTGTGGGAGAACCAGCCGTTGTGAGGGCAGCTCCACAGGTAGTACTCGTGTCCTGAGCAGCGCACATCGTCCAGGAGGATCTGTCCTGAGCCCTGGCCGAACCTGGCACTTCCCGGAGCTGACACTGCCCAGCCACAGCCAAGCTGCCTGCACACCACACTGGCATCATTGATGTCCCAGCTGTCATCACACACGGTGCCCCAGGAGCCTTGGTACAGGACCTCCACTCGGCCTTGACAACGGTCACCTCCATTCACCAGTCGAAGACCTGAACCGGGTTCTGTCCCTAGGAAAGGGCACAAGAATTTTCCATGCTCATCTAAACATTAAGAACCACGTCTCAACAATGGAGAAGTCCAGTGACCCAAGAGACACTGACCCAAGAGATTCGCTTGTAAAGCACATTGTTTTTATGTGCCATCAAGTTGCCTGTGTGACTCATAGTGACCCTATGCACCATAGCTCGAAGCCCTGCTTTATCATGAACTATCTCACTGTCTCTGATACTCCTACCCCAAGACCCCAATTATTGAGTCAAGCCATCTCATCTAGGGTTTTCCTCTCAGGTGCTTTCCCTCAACCCTTTCAAGCATGATGTCCTTCTCCACGGACTGGCCCCTCCTGGCCATGTGCCTGATGTTTGTGAGATAGAGCTTAAAAGCCTCCAGGGAGCAGCCTGATTTCACCCTCTCCAGCGCAGACCATCTGAGAGCCCAAAAGGGTAAGAATCACATAGATCTGAGTAGCCAGGAAACTTGCATTGAACCCAGAGACAATCAAGATAGAACAATTGTGTGAGTTCCACAGAGACCTCGGATCTGCGTCTTCAGCCCTGGTATCTTCCAACGTACTCATCTACTCTCAGGACAGAGCTGGGATCTTATCCATAGAAAACTCAATTCCTTACACGGGATGCCCATCCTACTCCAAGCTCATCCATTCCTTGTCAGCACAATTCATCATGATTCACACTAAAATCACGAATAATCTGGCAGAGGGAGCTGCAAGGCCAGGAGGTAACTTACCAGATCCCATGGTGGGTACAAATGTGGTGGCCATAGATGTGGTGGGCCATGGCGCTATAGCAGGGAGGGGAGAGAAAACAAACGTACATGTTGTAAGAAGAGGGCCACACAGCAAAACCGATCGCACCTTCAAACTCATGACCCCAAACCCTGCATTTTAAGTCTGCCGCTCACTGACCATGTGTTCTGCACGAGTCAAGAAAGGTCTCTAACTCTCAGGAGCTCATCTGTGAAAGTCTGTCTAAGACAGATGCAAGACAGATTCTATTCAGGTCTCGAATCTTTTCATTTGTTCCTCCACTAGCAGCCCTTCCTCTGCCAGCTTTTGCTCAGGGCTTACTGGTCAATGCATCTGTGCCCATCAGGTGCATCTACAACCAGCTGTGAGAAGATATGAGAGACGCCCAGGAACCAGGACACCTGGGAGTCCATGAACAGTGCTCCTTCTCTCTACAGCAGATGGAACCTTGTGACAGTGACACTGGTTCTAGGATCAAGAGGCCCAACGTGGAAATTGTACACTCAGGCAGAAGTTCATGTGAGAACTGAGGTTTATAGGAAATTTGTTTTACAGCATTAACAAATAACAAATGTACTGCTTCTTTCAGAAATGATCAGCTACAGCAGAGCGCACTCCAGCCAGCCCCTTCCTCTGCCCTGAACCAGCAGGGAAGGTAAGTGACTCAGACTGGATCAACCAGGCGCACTCACTAGCAGGTTACAATGACTGGCTCTGCAGAGCACGTGGGCTCAGTCAGATCCACTGGAGTCTCGTACGGGACATCCTGCCAGTGAATTAACAGAACGTAGCCCTTTCTCCCTTGGGGGCTAACTGGGAAAGGACAAGCTTGCTTCTCTGCTTCATGACTATAGACCTGAGCAGGGCCCATGATTGTGAGTTCAACTGTAGGGCTCCAGGCTCCCTGGCAAACCCCGACTGCAGAGGCAAAGGGTTTGTTCAGATCCTGAGAAGGGGAGCCACTCGTTATTTCTTGCTGGCTACCGTGGTACCACAGCTGTTGTATACGGTTTAACAGACAGAGAGCTCAGACTTATTAAGGCTCTTCCAGACCAGTGAAGGAATCTCAGGAAACCAAGGCTGGGTAACAACAAACACAAGACAGCAGCAAAACAGATGCCATCTTTGCAACCCTGGAAGGCTAGGAGAAGCTGCCTAAGAATCAATTCTAACAAAAGCAGTTGAGAAAAAGGGAAAAGATTTCAAACCCCTCATGACTTGTTTGCTGGTGTATTATAGTTGTGTGCTGTTGAGTCAGAATCAACCCACAGGTGACCCTCCAGTGGATTTTCAAGGGCAGTAAACCACATGGGACACTACTCCCCGTCTTTCTGCTATGGATCAGATAGGTAGATTCGAACCGGCTACTTTTGAGCTGGCAGAGCAATACTTCACCACTAAGCCCCCAGCGCTGCCTGTTGTTGAGTGCTGTCAATCTGATTCTAAAACACGCTGAGTGTTGGTACAACAGAAAGAAATGCTGCCAGGTCCTGCGTGTCTCCTACAATCCCAGCCACATCCTTTGTTGCAGGCACCGCGTCAATCCATCTGTGGGAGGGAGTCCTCCCTCTTCGGCTGATCCTCCACTTCTCCAAGAAGTGTGTCCTTTTCCTGGGGCTGACCCCTCCTGATCACATGTCCAGAGCATGGGGCCCAAACTTCACCACCCTCCCCTCGAAGAAGCTCTCTCCAACTGTACCCCTTCCAGGGCAGATTTCTTCCTTCTTTTGTCTTTTCTTTATCGCTGACTATTCATCAACAACACCACAATTCAAAGACTTCTTCTTTGGCCTTCCTTATTTATTGTCCGACTTTCACATGCATATGAAGCAAGTGATATACTTCAAGCACCTGACCCTCACTGCCTGCAGTCTGGAGCCCTTGACTTCCTGGTCAGGTTTGTCACTTCATCCCCTGGCACTCCGAGATGATCTGAATCTCAGCTCCCATAATATTCAAATTAGGATGCTTTATCTCATAAGGGCACCTTTTTCTTTTTCTTTGTCTCAGCCGCAAGCACCCATCCAGAATCCTGGCTCCAGTATTTCACTGTGACCCGAACATTGTTCCTGTCCAATCACCAGCCTCAAGGCCAAAGTCATTCAGACCAGAGAAGGAAACAGGAATGGTCCAGATCAGGAAGGTCCAGAGGTCAAAATGAGGTCTAGGATTCTCTCAGAGTGTCAAGAACAGGACTCTTGGAGTGATGTTTTCCGAATGAAGGTGTTGACTGAAGGCTGACCAGCCCCGGGCTGCTCTTAAGGGTTGTTTGTGAGAACCCTGGGCTTGAGCTGAATTACCTATGTGTTTGCTTAAATCTTCCCCACGTGTGGCATCACAACCTGGGGGCCAGGATGTAGAGGATGGAGGAAATCCATCAACCTGGGTCCCAGGGACCACTGAGTGGCACCTGCACCCCAACAACAGGGCTCCTCCAAAGATGGTCTCCTAGCCCCACACGGCACAGGCCTGGCGCTTGGTGTCCAGACGCCCCACACTAGCTGGCTCACGTTGTTCATGGAACCCACCCTCCTGAGCTGAGCCTGGTTCTGCAGGCTCCTCTTCCACTGGGCAACGTGTCATGTCACATTAAGGAAACCCAAAGACACTCCTACATCTGAAGAAAAACATGGGCCCAGCGCACCACAGGAGCTCCAGTGACAGAGGTCAGGGACAACATCTACCTCCACTGTAGCTATGAGCACTAAATGTTGTCCATGACCTTGGGGGTCAGAGACAAAGGGCAGCCTTGGGCTTCTTTGGAGAGGATCCTACACCAGACGTGCCCCTGAACTAGCACCTAAATCCATCAGTCTCCCGTCCTCACAGGCTCCTGTTCCTTGTTGGCCCGTGAGCAGCTGAAGTCACTCCTCCTCTGGTCTTCAGGCCTCTAGAAAACCAGGGCCTTGGACAAAGCGACGAACGTCACCCAACAAGCTCACTGTAGTCTGTCTTCTGGTAGAGACAAGCTTCCTCCGTGCTGCTTTGTTTCACGGCTGGCAGATGCAGGCCCACGCTATGGTCAGGCCTGGGCAGGGACCAGATTCTCTGGAACCTCAGATCTTGGAGGTGAGTGGATTGTTCCAGCACGTTTAGCCACTGCCTTGGCTTGTTCTTCCTGGGGATGTGATCCTACTGAGGCTGGATTTGGTTTCATCGTGAGGAGACCTCAATGTTCCCAACACGCTTCTAGAACAGGGCACTGTTCTGGAACCGTGATGAAATTCCAGAGAAGGAAAAGAAAGCGATTCACAAAATGTAGATCATTTTCTCCCTCACTCGTGATACTTGGAGACAAGGATCTTGATCTCGCTGCTGGACTGGAGCAAGAATGAACTGTGATCGTTACAGCCCCAGGAGGATGAAATCAGCTTTACAAAGCGCATCAGGCCCTCAGAGGCAACTCCTCGGACCAGTCTCTACTAGGACTGAAACCCAGGGCTCGAAGGGCAAGCCGAGCAGAGTGTAGCTGTGGGCACACTTCCTCGGGGGGAAGGTGAGGTGCACCCAGGGGTGGCGGGAGGTGGTGGCAGCCAGCAAGCAACAGACAGTATGACAGAAAAGCAAAACTAGCTAGAAGAGCTTTGTGTCTCTCACTTCCCTGCCTTGGTTTTTATTGTAACAGAAACATTCCTTGATAGTAAAATCAGAGAATAAACACATTTCATGAGACTCATCTAGAACTTAATACTCACATGTCCTTTTGATCCCAAAAGTATCACTAAGCAAAAATCTACGTCGTGAGCTAGCCCATACGACCACGTAGCTGTGGTAGCTGTTGGCAATTAGCCGGAGCAGAGTCCTCTTAGGGTGCTTTAGACGCACACAAGGAAACACATGAGCTGTTCCGTGAGACAGGAACTTAGAGCTGACAACTCCTGTGTCTCTGTCTACCTATAGAAAGCAGGTGCTGGTGGCTATGAGCACACACATAAGCCAGAAAGATACAGCAAATGAAAGGACAGGCAGGCTTGGACCTTCTGAGTCCAGCTGTACCTAAATCCATACCTGTCACTCTCTACCTTAGTTACTTGATAAATGTATTTGCTTTTTAAGTTAAGAGAGTTAGAGTTGGCTTCCAGTCATTTGCAGATAAAAGCATCCTAACCGATCTCTCTCTCTCTGTCCTGTACAGTACAAGTGAGAGGAACTCTCCATGTTTAGTGAGGTGCTGAGCTAGAGAGCCTTCCCCCAAACACGGGAAATATCGCCCAGGGATGGAGACAAGAGTGTTGAACTAGAACCACTGGCTATAAGTAAATGGCGCTTACCATCATCAGTACGTGTTGTAGACCACCAATCTGGAGTGAAAGAGATGGGGACGTGGGAGAGGGAGAGAGGAGGAAAGGGGGGGAGGGAGGGAAGGAGAGAGAGAAAGAAGAGGCGAGGTGAGGAGAGAGGGGAGGGGGTAGAGAGAGAGAGAGAGAAAAGGAGTCAGAAAACAGCAACTGTGTGGTCACTGTAGGGTTACAGAACTTCAGTTGGACTTAATGGACAATGGCATTTGAGAGAGCTCTTCTAGATATCTTGCGTTAAGTGACAATCATGGTCCTCAAAGTCCAGAATTACGGCAATGAGGTGATTTAATCCACAAAGAAAAACTAAAATCCTTTGTTGATAGATTGTGCTTCGGAAAAAAATCATCATTTAAACACTTAGTGGGTTACACTGAATAATATTTCGGTGCTTCTCTTATATTTAAATTTTAACTCAAGCAAATCTCTTTGGAGGCTCATGTATGAAATCAGTTGGATTCTGGAAAGTAGGTTCTCTTGTTTTAGTTGAAAGTCAGGTGTAAACTCTGGTTGTTTTTTGTTTCATTGACAATTGTGTGTTAGCTGATTGGTCACCTGGATTCTCTGGATTTAGCTAACAATCAGCTGTGGCCTGGAAGCCTCTTTTTAAAGTCAGTCAGGATCTGGTGGGTGGGTCTTTGTATTTAAATATTACTTGATTGTCTTTGGGAAGAACATTCTTCTAAGGGGTATAGCACTGGCCTGTCAGTTTGCTTTATTGAGATAACTTGGGGTTGTTGTGATATTAAACACTGTGCCACTGGTGTGTCAAATGCCATAATGGTTACCCATGGTGGACAGAGTTTGGTAGCGCTCCCAGATTAAGACAGGCTTGGAAGCAGGATTGACATCCACTTTGTAAAAAGCCTGCCTTTGGAAACTATGAACATTCGAGAAACAATAATAGTTATAGAACAGGGTTCAGATCTTCTGTTCATAGGGTCACTATGAGTTGTATTCAACTCGACAGCACTTAACAATGACAAGCAAATCTGTCCAGGATTAAAGACCCTAGAACAGATGTCCTTCCGCTGCCTAAAGTGTAAGTGAGCTCAGTTTAGCATCTCCTGTTGGAGGACGTAAAGCACTAATCCTGCCAACCCAGAAGAGAGGCCTGATGTGTTGGGAGTGCAACAGTGCGCCTCATATGCAGTGGCCATCAAGGGAGGCCGCGAAAAGGCAAAACAACATCGTGTTCTTTTCCTGTAGCTACTGACTGGAGAAAAGAGAAACCCCTGCGTTCAGATGGCACACTCACCTGGGACGGTTGTGGATGCACCTGGGGAGGCTGCGAGAAAGAAAAAGACAAATCAGATGCTTTGCCGAGTAGGTGTCACCGTCGCGCAGAGCGTGTGAGCCGTGAGCCGGTCAGGGATTCAGCCCAATCCCTCTTTTCTGCAGAGAGTAGGTGGCCTTCGCCACCATCATCCCTTAAGGTGGCACCACATTAAAGCCTAGGAGACACTCTGCATTCTTTCCAACATTCAGGTGATTGTCCTTGTGTGGAGGTCATGGTGACGGCTAAACTGACTCACAGCCAGGGCTCCACTGCGCATGCTTCAGCGAGCCACTGATTTCAGGCTCATCCGGGGCTATTGCTGGACTTTGCCTGGCATGCCTGCTATGGGAGAGTTAATTTGCACACCCCCAAACTCAATGCACTGTGGGAGTCGTAGTCAAGGACCCAGCGCCCTCTCCTCTCTGCCTATCAGTCTCATATGTACGTCGGCATTCCTAATAGGTACTTTCTATGAGGCCTAGAGTCATAAGGTGACTGAACATGCAATTATTTCTCACTCCTAACTGTTCCTGTTCTCCCTCCCTGGTCTATCTAGAAACAGGCTTTGGGTGTGAGCTCCTAGGCAAGGAGGCATTTTCTCCATTGGTACCGTACACCATTTGACTTTGGTAGTTAATTATATAAAAGATAATGTATATGAGTGATTGTATAAAACCCATGTACATGATTGAAACACAGTGTAGATGAAGGATTGCATAAAACACAAACTATATGTATGAAACACAATGCATATGAAAGATGGTATGTAAACCAACAACAACAAAAAAAAGGCAGAAGGTCATTTTGTCTTTTGCCTGATTGTCACAGAAACCAGAGGTGGGGGGTGGGGATTCTCTGGTTGTTCACTATTACGATTGCCCATCTCAGCAACTATTCTCTCAAGAAGCAATAGTGATTCCTGACAGAAAGCCAATATAATTTCAGACAAATAAGGTGTAGAAAATAATTTTGATTCTTTTACTTTTCAAAAAGTAAAGTGAATTGAGGGAGGGGTGGGCAGGGAGAAAAGTGCAACAATGAATGAATGGAAATGCAAAGTTTGTAAACTTTCATGAAAATAAATTTAAA